CCGTTCATAAACATTTGTAAACTTAACTCTATAGAAGCAAAACAAAAATGTGCATACGGTGAATATGAAACGTAATCAACGCAGACATAATTTGTGTTTTTTTTTTCAATTGATTGTATACTTTATTCTCTTATCTTAGCTTTTGTACCCTTCATTTATTTGCTCGTATCTACACTGTTTGCGTTGTAATTCGTAAATGCAATAAAGTCTGTAATCAATATCATTAAAATTGCTTAAAAAAAAAAAAAACGATATTTTGACACTCCTCTCTACAAGTACACAATCGTTAAAATTCCTCTGATATAAGAGATTAAAGAATATCATGTTGTCTGGGTTAGGTACGTGTACCAAATGCATCGACAAACTCCATATATAATTGTCGGCCGGTGTTTAGAAAAGACTTAAGATAAACGAAAAAAATAATGAATGTGCCAGGCTAATGCGTCTTAAGAGCCGTTTCTCCGTGACTCAAAGTTTTCGATTCATCTGGGACTTTTGATACCAAACCGCTGCGCACTAAACCACGACCATTTTTGTTGCTGTGTTGATAATTAAACAATGACTGCGCCGCTACGGAACATTTCATATTTATAAGTTCTAATCTATATGCAATGCCTTTCAATGATCTTTTTCCTGGAACCGGTGAAACGATTATCAATTGCCCGTGATAATTTGTAATAATTGTCTCTCCCAGATGGTGCACAATCATCCTGATGAATTATACGTAATACCACAAGGAACAATAATATTCATCTGATACTAGGCGAGAATGCGATTCGGTGGAAGACATGGTTCACCGATTCCATGAAGATCTCACGCGTCCCTTTAGAAACACGTTCATGGCCGCAGGCCAACGAACCCTGACTCAGATTTAAAGGTCGTTGAGGTCGTTTGCCCTCTATGTGTAATGTGCTGCTGAAATCAACCTTCACACACCAGGGAATCGTGGAAAGAATCTAAATGAGAACCATAAGGGCAAAAACAAAATTATTTTCTGGCAGTGAATACTATTTATCGAAGAAAGTTTCGACATTAACACTGATAAAAGCAGAAAGTGCTTTACAGTATTCACCTATATTTTAATGTGATTCATTGTTTACGTATTGTGTATTTTCAATACCTGATCAAAAAGGTAAGAACAATTCACTCGATAGAAGTGATGGACACCTGCGACGAACGTTTTCGAAATAATGTACACACAATGGTGAGAGCGAACGTGTTAATAACGCCATGGCAATTCCAAGTGGCTTCCTCGGTCGGTCACGTGACTAATAACATCACCAATGTTTACAAATAAATGGTGCCTAATGGCGCTTAATCCTTTCACCGTCATTCGCCTGTTTTTTTTATGTAACTCAGACCTTCTAAATTGAAAGTAACAAAGACCAGAATAATGGAAATTTGTTTATCGAGGAGGATCCAACACATTAGGCTCGTACACGTTATCCAACGTGCCATTCGACAGTGAAAGGAATACTTTTTTCCATGAAAAGTAAATACTTCTCGGACAACTTAATACTTTCGATGCACGACATTAAATACACAGATTATTAAACGGTTATCCATTTACGAGCGATGCTAATGCTTCTATACAAGTATTCATACTTTTGAAAGAACCGACGAATTAGAAGGCAAGGAGTGCTGTGTATCTTATCTGATTAAAGAAAGATCCTTATCTCAACCATTAAATGATTAGTCAGTACTGCGTATCGTAGACCTCACAACAAAATAATAACCGCGTACATATGTGTCTTGACATAAATGAGTGCACCACCTTCGAACCAGGAACAAGAGATACTTTCCCATTGGCGGTTCGAAAAAAAAGGTAATGTTTAGGAATTTTTTAAAAATAATGCAGAGTATATGATAAAAAAACTTCCCTGCTTTTATTTATTATTTAAGTTTTTTCACCGAATGTTCATTGCTTTTTTCAAAAAGCAAATTCCTAAGTGTCACATTTTTTTGCAGCTGCTAAAAGGGAAAAGAGTTTTAATCACTTGTACCGTGTGTGTTTTACCTCATGGAAGTAAAAGAAAAGAACAAAGAAAAAGAACATTCGGAGGATTCGAAGATCTCTAACTGGTTGGAAACGGCGTGTGAGATGAACAAGAGAAAACCTTCAAACCTACATCATCTTGTCGCGAACACGGTATATAAGTTCTCGTTGGCGACGATAACGTCGTCCAAATATGCATTCCACGCGTGACGTACATAATCCATGCGTGGCGGTTGACCCTGACGCGAGATAACTTCGGTGTTGTATGGATTTTTCGCTTTACGGTCGCGGAGGAGACTACTCTAACGCACCTTCGCGAAACTATTTAAGGACTCCCGGTTTCAGCGGAAGAAAAATTAATAACGACCTCGGGGAAAAGAAGCTGATTCTAATGAAGAAAAAAAAGGAACGATCGTCCGGGGAACTAACCGTTAGTAGGCTTACTTGAATTGCAGATAATCTCTGAACCTGAAACCACGTGTTACATACGATTAAACACGATTTTCCTTTGCACCTGTTATCATCGTTTTTTCCGGTTAACCAAGGAATCTTGACACGGGACTCGATCAAGAATAATAATTCCGCAGTTTTGCTACCGATACGATTCAGGGTCAGATTAAGACCTTTAGAGGCCCTGAGTACTCAAAAAATGTTGTTGGTCTCCGGTCAAACTGTAATACCATCATACCTTTGTCGTGCCCGTGTTTGTTAGACACAGGAGAACAGGCTATTTGTATACAAGCAAAATTTTTAATATCAAATTTCAAAACGCAATATATCCTCAGTATGGGTGTATCAAGTGTTTATTCGTACTATATATTTTTTTTAAAATACGTTGAAGTTGGTCCATGGTGAATCTAGCAATGGAAAATTTCTGTGGTGCCCCCTCCCCCCTCCCCTTCCCTCAATGCCCTAGGCAAGCACGTGCTTATTTTGCTTAATGATTAATCCCAGCCCTGTAACGATCGCTCGCGAACTATTAATTATTCATAATAACTTCCTGATCGATCGGCAGTGTGTGCCGAGTCGATTACGCGACGTTTCATTTAAGCCCACCTAGCGTGTTTTATAGATTTTCATCGATTTAACCCTATAACCGTGGAACGAAGTCCGAGTAATTGATCGACGAAGAATTCCATAGATACACAGTTATGTATACCTCTTGTAAGAAAAAATATTCTAAAGGACCATTCCTAATCGCCCCTAAAGGATGTTATCACATATACACCGTGGGTTTCCAGCATCCACCTATGAGTCATCGCGGTATAGACCACGTGTCCCTAGTCGCCTGATGAAACTACCTGCAGCGCTGACGAAATATGTTTGGTATCACTTGAAAGAAGGAAAAATCCAAATCTCGCTTCCCCACCTCGAATCGGTACAACGTTTCGCCTAACATTTCTCACGTTCGAACTTGTGCAACTGAAAAATACTTTTGAATATAAACAGATCCTGAAAATAGAACTTCCTAAAAGGAATTCCCTTACCGATCGAATAAAATAATTTGTTGTATGGAAGGGCAGAGTTTAAAGTGATTGTATGTACACGATATATGTCCCTGATCCGTCCTGTCCGTACCGATCCCCCGAGTACCTGAACTCTGAAATTGGCACGACGCCATGAAAGAAGTGCGCAATTCCGCGGCAGCCGGGATTGCCACGCTGCTGCGTCTACGTTACCGGGAAGAATAATTTTGGGCGACTGCGACGCAGGGGTGGCTGCTGCATTGGGAAAATTCAAAGGCCAGAAAGGCGAAGGGGGGAGCACGCCAGCCAACAAAGAACTGGAGAAAAACAAGGAGCCACCATATGTATCTGCGGTGACGGCGGAACCGCTGAGGCTGTCTCTTTACTGACAGCCGATTCGATGAACGTACACACACCACATTTATGTATGCACATATGTAAACACGAGAGCGCAACCTGCGTCTTAAATTTATCCCGTGTAAAACCAGACTAAATCAATGGAGGCTATTTTCGGTTCCATCGGTTCCAAGTTAACACTTCCGCTCTCCTTACTCCTCGCGATCCTATCCTTCGAAAGAACGCTTAAAATCCCAACAGTCAGTCTCGTCGACCGCCATGTATGTATATGTCACCGCAACGGTTAGAACGCTTCGATGTTTCATCGAAGTTATCCGATATTACGTCAGTTTCCACGGAGAGTGATTTTAAGGCGCGTCTCCCTCAATCGCTCGAAATCCTCTGTTATGTAGATCATGTGTCGTTCCACGAGAAACAGACAGCCATATGTACATATCTGTTTACTTATTACACGAGAAAAGATAAAAAATTTTTAGTTGACGTATGTCTGGGTTGGGGAGGGAGTGAATACACAGTGGTTCTTTAATCTTGTACCGATTGTTTTGAATAAGATGGATGCAACAATCGTAGACACACTGATTATTCTTTTCCAATTGTTCCCCATTCTTATGCTCTCGAGAACGGTGATTCACGGTTCACACTTTTTCGATCACTCTCCTTTGTGAACGTCTCAGGCAAAACTTTAGTTTGTCAATGCGTCAGTCGTGCGAAGGAGTTTCCGTTACGTGAGCTATGCTGTTCGCGGTGGAAAGAAAATTCGTAAGTCGCATTGAAAAATTCACGGAAAACAACGTAAGATAAAAATCAAAGAAAGGTAATGCCTTAACCGTAAAGAAGTACCGGCATGTCTACGATCGTTACATTTATCTTATTCGAAATTATCGCTGCAAGATGAAAATAGTACGTCGATACAATTAAAAATATATACCATTGACATTGGACACTATCAAAAAGAATGATCGTACCAAAGAATTTTGTACACAGTCGCGCGTCCATCTTTCGCCACCACACTCTGTTTTCCAGGTAATAACTGACAGAAGATACATTCAGATGTCTTGTTTCTAAGGAATGATTTTACATAACTAGATATATGTATATACACTGTGTTCGACGCGGCTACCGGCCCTACTTGTCTCCTACTCACGTGCGTAGCCGTCGTCAAAACAAAAACAATCGCTCACCGTGAAATGGACAATCCAATTCGATCGGAGATGGATCCTCTTCCAGCAGCAAATGTATGGTCATTCCTTCGAGGAGAAATGATTGTTTACGTTTTTTTCTTTCACTACGTCTGGTCTCCTCGATTTATCCGTTGAAAACTGACGTTTTTCTCGACGACGATGGAGCGTGAGGGGGGTGTACCGATGCATCGGTGTCACGCCTCTTTGTTCGGCGACACACTGCTTCCAAGAGGCCCGTGGCCACGTCGAGAACGACAAGATGCGGTTGTCACGAGTCTGTTGGTGCACGTCGACGACGCGCGTGTCAAGAAAACACCCGGATGAAAACGTTACACGGCGGTGGATAATCGTGGAAATAGAAGGGCGTATGTATAACGTCGTGGTACGTGGTGTATCGCGGCCAAGCCGTGGCATCGTGTACACTGAGTCACGAGCAACGTGTTCCCGCCGGTTTATGAAGAGTATCGTTCGGCTGATGTGCGCATGTGTCGGTGAATGCACCCGCCGCCGCGGCCAACGCGCGCGCCTATATCGACACGTGTTGCACGATGATGATAACAGAGGGGCCGATAACACTGCACCAGAGACAGAAGAAACGACGCAGAAACTCCGAGTGGACTTGGGTGGTGGAGATCGTAAGCTGCCCGATGCGTATTGTGCCTCCCCCGCTTTTCGTCCGCTACGACAAACACGAGCAAGATCCATTATTCGGATGACAAATCTCGAATGGCAAATGAAAAATACGTACGGTGACTTTTTTTTTCATCTCATCGTTCGAATAAAGAGTTTTATGTAGAACATAATGTGGTAATTTTATTTTCGAATACATGAATGACTCTCTATATGTTTTGTTCTACTGCTGATCGGATTTGTAGGTGATTTTGATTACCACTGGATTCTATACATATGTAATATACATACATATATGTACATTCTTTTCCCTGACAGTCTTAAACGATGTTCTCCGCAGACCGATAACCGCCTCCTTTGGTCCCAACTAACGATCGTAATCTCTGAATGTAGTCTATTGTTAATGGAACTGATTCTAATGCGATTAACGAAAGTGTTAGTTGTCTTAGAATTTGTTTGAAAATAATATTACTTGCTTCGACCGTTTTTATAAGCGTCGAGTTTGAAAAATATATTTTAGGTTATTCTCTCAGTTTGTTAAAGGCGCTCGATTACATACAAGTTATCGGTTACGGTACAACCGTACAACTTGCCGTGCCTCAATTGGAAGCATTGCTTAATAATTTTTGTTGATTAACAGTAACTTGAATCGTACATAATTCTAGCGATACGAATATGTTAATTATATTGTGGATTTAAAAAAAAACTACTCTCATTTTTTATTACGGAAGAGACTGAACCGTGTGAACGAACAAGAACTTCTGAAACAAGAAATTGTACCACTTTACTTTAGATAGTACACGAATATAGGCGGCGTTGAACTTGTCACAATAACCAAACACGGTTACAGACAAACACTAATGCATGACTCTAAAATTAGAACAACGAATTTCCCTAAGTTCACAGCACGTGTCATGGTATATATGTTTATTTTGATAGCAATTGCGTACATAGTGATGTTTGTCTATAACGCTTCATAGTCTATTTCGTAATGCATTGGAAAGTTGTAACAATACTCTTGTATTAAATGCAGAAGCTGAGAAATAAACATATACAAGTCTAAGGAAGAAAGTAAAAATAACTCGATACGTGTAATGATTGGAATAAATTGGAAGATCGATTGGAAGCTTCGACCTTCACGAAGACAACCAACAAATTATTGATTTCGCAAAGACAGATTGTTTCCACGATACCGCCTTAAGAACCGAATTATTAAAAGTCATCTCACAAAGTAGGAAGAACAACAACAGAGGTCACTTTGTTTCTAGATTCGTATTTCGAACACAGTGAGTGAATTTGATCAGCCTTCGAATCTTGCTGTCCGAAAATTGCTAGTTATACTAGTTAAATATCATTGGTAGTTTTTGTCGAGTTACCGAATAATTCTTGGCAAGATAAATTCAATACTTATACATATAAACCACAAATCACTTAATAAATTTTTAATACATACATTGATGAATTTGTTGAGCAGTTGGAAGCAAAGAGGAGTTAGTAGCGCCATCCGACGGAATATCTGCAAAACGCAATAAAACAAACACGCACTATTAATTGTTGTTATGTACGATGCATGCAAAAATTGTTCTATCTGAAATTGCAAAACATTAGGTTTTATTTTACTGTATATAACTACATATACTTCAGTGGTATACGTAGAAAAAAATAGTGACTGCATTATGACAGTTCAATAAACATAATTAATATGGAAAAAAAAAATTTATCAGTTTCTTTTTTTCTTAATGAAAGTATTAGAATATGCCTGTATACTGTGTAGATTAATCTTCAAAAATTTTATAAATTAACTTAAAATGTCTGGAAGAAGAAAGACAAATTACAGAAGTGGAAGACGGGACAAGACTTTTTCCTCAACTCCTAGTCAAAAAAGGTTTGTAACCGATTTGGTATCTCCTGCATAGACAACATTAAATACTGATTGTTTCTACAACAAATATTTTATATATGTAATAGTTGCATACGAATCATAGTGCACATACTATACTAAGAATCAATTAAGTTATGAGTGAAGGTCTATAAACGGACTATTTTTCGTAAAGTCGTGCAATAGTGTTTTAAACGCACGTAATACACGAGTACAAGAGTTAAAAGCAACAAATTTCTACTTTGAAGTAAAAAATGTTTAATATATCAAACTCTGGTCTATAGCATTAAAGAATTAATATTTTATTGTTCCCGAAGATTTTGATTTTTTATGCTTGTTAACGGAAATTGAAAGAACATAGTTCACTATGACTATAGATATTTAACACGTTTGCCAACTTCGTCATTCGTACATTAACTGGATCTAAGTTACCTATTAACAATTAATATGTCAAATTTGACCAGTAATATTAATAAGTGCACATAAATAATATATTTAATGAAACTGACGGAAGATTATTTCATTCTATGCGTGATTTGGTAGCAGTTTTGTCGAATTTCTATCAGTTTTTAAGTGACCTGAAGTACACTTCGATTGCGCGATAGTTGACTTCCTGTTTTATTTCTGGAAAGTTCACGTGATCGCTCTGAGTCGGCGTAAAACCTTAAGTTGCATAACGTAACTGAGAAATCGAAAATTCAGTCGCAGTCTCAGAAGATACTTGTGAGAGAACGAACGTGTTTAGTGGTACACATTACTTCTTTTTCAAACTTGTTAAACATGCCACGCCGAGGACGTGCATCTGCTCCGCCACCAAGAACGTAAGTATTTTTGGCCGTTGTGTGTTACTAATGTAATCTACTTTTTTTTTTTAAATAAATTGCATGAAATTGGTAGTGCGTTGCGCGATGTCGAACGTGACGTAGGACGTTAATCAGCTTGCAGTTGAACGTTTTCATATGACCCATCTTGACAGTGTAATTTTTATATTGTTGCAGGGTTAGGCCAGCTCGTGCAGCGGCTCCCGCTCCAGCAGCCCATCCTCCAGCCCATGCGGCACCATCAACACCCATGGTTGCCCAACCTCAGCAGCCATCCCTCATGGGACAAATGGCTGCCACTGCTGGAGGTGTAGCTATTGGTTCAGCTGTGGGTCACACTATTGGACATGCCATGACTGGACTCTTTAGCAGCGGTTCCAGCGAAACTGCTGCTGCACCTGCTGCAGCTCCAGCAATGGCTCAGAGTGCACCATCATCTGCACCTGCTGCTGGTGCTTGTGCATGGGAGGTTAAACAGTTCCTGGAGTGTGCCCAAAATCAATCTGATCTTACATTGTGTGACGGATTCAATGAAGCTCTTCGCCAGTGCAAAGCTTCTCATAGTATGTAACTTGTTTCAGAATAGTTATAAATTCAGTAGTAGTTATGAAATAATATACAACAGACACATCTTTATTTTAGATATGATTTAAACAAGTATTCTTGAAGAAATGTCTAGTAGCAGGTGATTTATAGGTAAAAATTTAGAAAATGAATATGTGAATTCAATAATATTGTAAATCCAGAACTATTTGAAATCATTATGTTACATGTACCTAATTGAATATGTAATTAGGAACTAATTTCTTCTTAAATGATTTACGACTTATGAATAAAATAATTGTTATGTACATGTACATTGTGTGATTCATTTATAACAACCTCATCCCAAATCTCAAGTATGAATTTGTTAAAACCAAGATATTACAATATTTCAACTATTTGTACCATTTGGAAATATCAGCCAAAAGACAATAATATGTGTGTTGTAAGTGATGACTTCTGTACTAGAAAAATAACTGTTCTTGTATTTTTTATAAGTCTTTAGAATAAGTCAGAAACTCTCTAATCAAGGGACATTGGAAAACCACCAAAAACCATCCAATTACTCTTAGGAACCACTATGATCCTAAGATGGGCAAGGGAGACTATAATTCAAATCAGACTTGTTTCCACATCCTTTTGCCTTTTATGTATACAAATTAAGTAGTGTATAACTATTTAGGTTTAAGACAAAGACTGTACCAGCCCAACCACGGACAAGCAGTAACGATCAGTCTGCTTTCCAGGCTGCAGCCAATACAGCAGCAGGTGTAGCTACTGGAACTATTATAGTAAGTACTAATGGATCAGCGATTTGTTCGTTTTTCTAATGTAATTCAACATTCAAGGGGCAGGTAATTGGAAATTCGATTTTGGGAAGCTTAACACATACACCTGTTGTCAAAGCTGAATGTGATTCTACTGATTCACAAGAACATTGTGTTCCCGAGATCAGAGAATTTTTCGCATGTGCTTCGAAAAGTCAAGACCTGGATGCTTGCAAAGCTTTTCACAATATGTGGATGAAATGTCAAAAGAAACATAATTGTGATGAAAGAATTAACTAACAAAATACATAAAAAACTAGAAAGATAAAGAAGAATGTTACCTTTTAAAAGACATATAAAAAAGTAATGATTTAAGAACATAGTTTATTAACTTAACGCGTTTCTCAAAGACGGTTTTATACTCGGTCAAAGGAGGCAGTTAAATGTGCAGGAAAGGGGTATGGTAGACTATCTTTTCTCTGTGTTTAAGACGCGCATCACCACGAAGCCCGCAACAGTGGCGACAGCAATTCCAAGGCCAGCTTTCCACCAGACAATGGAATCCCCTTGCATGAGTCCAAATTGATTTATATGCCTGAAATTTCAATAATTATTTTTCACATCAAACACTGAAACTCCTTTGAATGTTTAGTATGATAAAATCCATGTTTATGTACGCATTCTATCACCATGTAATAGAATCATAATTCGGTATATGTACTATTTTGTGACAAGCATCTATTAATTTTGGATCTTATCACACCTTAATGCACACAAAATTGAGAAATATAAATTATTCTTAAACATGTATGGAATGTAGGTAACACCAAGGCAAGAGTCCAAGGATCAACTGTCATCTCATGCTCATGCAAAAAAAAAAAATTAAAAGTATATTGGCATCATTGTATTATTGTAAGTCATGAGCACGCCGTGAAATTAACAGAAATTGACAATATGAACAAAAACCTTGTAAACGAACTCCACCATTGAGTGGGCGAGGGTTTGTCAAGCAACATGTGGACCATACGCCTCAAAGGACTGAAAAGATTTAAGACTCTGTTATGATAGTCTTAATCATGCGGCAAATTTTAATCTCTGAGCAAATCGCCTAACACATTTGTCTGTGAAATCTATTCTGCAGACGTGCAATGAAGTATGAATAATAAAAAAAATGTGATTCACGATTTGCTCAAGCTTACAATGTTTACAGTGTGGCAAAAGTTCAGACCAACCTGTCTCTGTAAAATAATACCCATGCTCCTTGAAAGCGGCTAAACATGAAATCTCTGTTAGTATCTAATAGTCATTCAGTTTTCAAGAATAATATTATTTTTCTTAAATACTACAAAATGCAAACGTAATTCTTAATCCAATCAGGATATCGTTTATTCTATACCGTATTCAAATAAATATGTTTGCTGTATGAAATAATAATTTTGGAGCACCGTCATACTTCTACAAAGATTATTATGTCTACGGATACAGTAAATATGTTGTGAAATGAAACTTACGGGAAAGCTGCCATTGTCGCTAGCTTAACGAAGATTTCACGTCGTACAGTGCGGGAGATGCTGTACGGTTGCGGTGGCATCAGTTTGTACTTATTGCAAAAAGTTACTGGCTGTAGCAAGTACTCTTGTTTCACTTCAGTAAGATCGTTCTTATTCGCTATTATGAGAACGGGTATTTTACTATCTGCGAAATATTTCTACGAAAAACAACAAATTATATTGCCTATAAAGTTGAATCATTAAAGCTCGTATACATTTATCGATAGTTGTTAAAAAAATCCTTACAATATAAACTCGTGCGATATATTCAAACGACTGTGGGTTACTAGCGTCATAAACCAAAGCCGCCGCATCGCAATGAATTTGTGCCGGAGTTAAAGCATCTTGAACGTTCAGTATATTTATATCCCGCAGTATTATTGTCTTCTCTTGACCATATACATGCACTGTGTTCACTGTTACATGTGCATTTAATGGAACCGTTTCGTCAGTTAATTTCTGGAATTATATTAATTATTTACTATACTCATTTGTATCCACACGTGTATTGACATATACCTCAAGCTTGGGATCTATAAATGTTCTGCATAATGTCGTTTTTCCGCTACTCTTTGGACCAATCACGTGACAACTGTAAACATTTCTGCTTGTCTGTTTCTTTGCTAAATCCAGTTTCTTTTCGCGAGTGACTAGGACTGCGTTTGTCTGACATTCATTATTATACATGTTGTAGCCTAAATATGCCATATATTCTAAGGCTTTACGTACATTAGTAAGAGTTAATAGCGCCCACTGGCACATGTAACCTTGAAACGTGATCCAACCCTATCGCGGAAGTTACAATTCTAGTTAATTATACGAATAATAAGAAAATCGTGATTAACAGTAGTAACTTATGGAAAATGAACCTGTTCGTTCGTTGGAACGGTGTACCTATACTCGTCACCCCAGGGTGGTGTTAGGCACCTTGAAAATAGCGATTCCATTTCTAATGGTGAAAGAGCACTGTCTTGATCTCTATCATGTTGTATAAATAATAGCGTTAAAAATTCTTGCCCTTTGTGAGACAATTCAGTTGTACAACCAACAGGGATCTTCAATCTGTTCGATATAAGAAAAAAGAATATAATACAAATGAAATGTTTTTAAATAATTGCTTCATCAACTCGTTACTAACGGTGGACATATATATTCTTTGGACATTTGTAGCTCGTTATCGTAACCAAATTTTCTCAGCACAGCCCAGGTAGTCTCATTTCTTCCTCGCTGTATAAATAAACACTGGAGATACATAAAACCTGCACATAAGAAAAATGTTTTCCTTCATTGATTTTTACACATTGTAGTGGTAAGGAATACCTTTCATTGTAACACATCCATTGCAAATGCCATCCTGAATATTTTTTGATAATACAGCCTTTACATCCTCCAGTACCTGTGGTTGTAGTGGAGTGTTAAAGCACCACTGCTGAAATGCATTGAGCTCCATATCGTTTAGTAGACCATCATTATCCAAGTCACATATCTAAAATTGTATAACACAGATAAAAAGTATCCAATCTTTAGCATGTATTTTTACTTTACACGTACTTACTTTAAAAATTCTTTGGAGCGCAATTTTACATTCTTCTGTAAGCTGAACATTGCACTGAATTAGTAAGTTATTTGGTATTTGTGTATTAAGATTTGTTCAATTTTATATTAAATTTTACCTCTTGGGTATCATAATTGTACAATGGAGTAGTCGGATGTAAAACAGCTCTTTGTGCATAATAAAATGTTTCAGATACATTTTGTAATGTTTTGGCAGAACACTAAAACCAAACAGAGTAGAAATTAGAATTTGACTTTAATAATAATTCACTTAGTAAACACCAGTACATTTATAATGCTCTTACCTCAATACAGCTTTCAATTTCAGTGAATTCTTTCATTATAGGGTATACAGCCTGTGAACGAAAAATACAATAGAGACATCAGCCTTTAAAGAAAATAAACACAGCATGTATGAATATAAGTTTTTTCTTAAACCTCAATAGTAGAATAGTCAACAAGATCAATCTTATTTCCCACAAGAACAATTGGACAACGATTGGTAGATGAACAACGTCTAATCAGTGGTAACCAATAAGTAGCTGCTCTATCTAATGTATCCTCGTCCACCACAGAATACACAACACAAATTACATGTGCCTTTTGAATCTCATCTGATAATTGATCCTCAGTCTGTTCTGCAGCTAAAAATATAGAAGTGATAAAATTTTTAGGAATCATCTATTAATTATTTCCATAATTAATGCAGCATGGAAACTGAAAAAGATTAACATATTTTTATACACATTTTTGCAATTATTGGTGATTCATTTCGATTAAGAAACCATTAACAAACTAAGGAACAAAGAACTATTTATCTTGTCATAGGTATAGTTGATGGACAGTATGTAGCAAACTCGTGTCATGATTCATTTGGCCCTAGCTCGGCTTAAACCCAACAAGACGTGCCCTACGTGTTATCTCATTAATGGGTTCTAATGTATTTTTATGAGTTTGTTGTATATTGTCCACCACCTATAACATTTGGAGAGGTTACTGAAATGGGACCCAAAAGAGTCATTATACTTGTTTTATCAATATCATCTTTTGTGCCTCAGAAGCATCACAACCATGTTGTTCACCATAGCATAAACATCGTTGATATGTACATACCTGAATAATCAACAATGTGCGTGGGCACTTGTTCCGGCGTAACGTCCGCCGGTATAGTGATCTCTTCCGCCTTGCAGGGTACATCCTCAGCGTATTCCTCGCTGACCAACGATAAAATCAAGGAGGTTTTGCCAACTCCGCGATCACCGATCAACAAAATTCTAACGTTGCGCTTGGGCGCAACCGGCCGTTGAACCATGCTGACTCAAGTAAAATACTTCTCGCTCGTAACAGCGTCGTTCACCGCTTAAATCCTCAGGGGCATCTTCGTCGTTTCCCGAGAACTTTCGTGCCTTTCCCTAACCTACAAACTCACCCGCTAGCACCCAGCTTCTGGACGTCACTTCACCCTGATCTTTTTATACGATCTTCTACGTCGACATTTTATCAAGCGATTACGATCGGACAGATCGGCTGCCGTCGCTGCGACACGACTTTCTCATCCGTGTTACGCGGAAAAAGAAGCGTTGCTTCACCCGCTACGATTGAACTTGCGCTCCAAGGGTGGGCTTTTCAAGGTTACGTTCTCTGCTCCGAATGACAGTGTACACATAGACAACGTATGCACACGTGCGCAAGAGACTGTGTGTGTGTGTGTGAGAGAGAGAGAGAGAGAGAAAGGGGTTCGTACAAAAAAGCGACCAGAACGAAGGGATGACCCGAGCGGCACGTTACAAACCCAGGGGAACTGTTATGCTTGTACTCGAAGTGGGTTTGTTAAAACGAGCAATTCGCATCTCTGCAGAATGGAAAATCAGTTTATTCGTGGAACGAATCTCGTGGATCCGCAGCGCCCACATTTAAATCGCATGCTATAGCGGATACACGGGAACCTTGTGGAAATCGATAGCGCTCAAATATTTTGCTATTTGAGACTGATCTTCAAACCAGGATTTCAAATGATTTTGAGTAGGAAATGTATATGTACATTCCTTCGGGCACGATCCAGAGGAAAATCATCGTGATTTCTTTTTATCAGTTTTTATGTAAATTGGATTATGGAACAGAATTTACATCATCCGTCCTGCATACATGACCTTCGGATCTTATCATCATAACTCTATTTCTTTTAACGCTGTGTTGGTCACCGGTGACCGACGTCGTGAAATGTAAGAAGTAATTAGTAACATCATTTTTGGCGTTTGCTTGTATTATCACTATTTGCAGTAGTGGTATAGGTGTTTAATCCCAGATAGCACATGACGCCTTAAAGATGCCCATTTTACGGTTATTTTAGGTTTAAGGCACCTTTAAACCGTCTTCAAGATGTCGTTAGGCGTCATGTGCTATCTGGGATGTGTTAAGATGCATTTCTTCTTTTTGACGTTTACTTCCATCTTTAAACGTGCTGTTTACTGTCTTATACTATCTCACTTTCCTGGAATTTTCTGGTTTATTTAATGTATGCAGAAATATACGCAGAATCATGTTATTTTTTTTTTTCTCTAATTAATTATGGCAGAGATATATAATATATCTATAGATGTATATAAGTCCTATGCACAATAAACAACCATGGATAATAATTGTTTATTTTTTAATTTACTTAAGTAATTACCTATTTTCCATATAACATTGAATTCATTATATAAATTACAGTTTTTTATAATGTTGAAACGTAAAAGAGATGAGCTGTTGCATCAAGAAAATAAAACTACATGTAACTGTGTAGTAAACAAGTAGCAAACAGAAGAAAAGAAAAAAAGGTTTCCAGAGCGGACCCCAAATTATCTGCAATCGAAGAATATTCTTGCTCTTGTGCGTTATCGCGTTTATATGCGATTTATTTGTCTTGTTTACATTTTTGTAATTAATTGTAACGCGTGATGTCATTTTGTATCCGACTAAAAAGCTTAAAAAAAAACTGAACAATATTAAGAGGATAATGAAGATTTATAGCGAAGAGATGTAGAAGATTACTGAATGGTATTATTGCTGAACCATTAATTTAACAAATTATCGAAAATATGTTATAGTAATTATTGATCGCTACTCAACATTTTTTCCGCAAAATGCTGTGAAAATTCAACTTTTATTGTGAATTGATAATGAATAAATACTTAAATTGATAATAAATTCGGGTAGGTAGACGTCATTATTTGAAATAATTTTAAAACTCACACGATAGGTATGAAAATGTAGCTTTGTTATCTAACTTGTTTGTTACAGTTGAAAAACTACTCGGTCGATAAAATTTTGCGTTGCTTCATTTGTATACCCCCCAGGAATATAAAAATATAGTCGAAGCAGTTAGGTAGTAAACAAAGTGATAACCTTTGGCGTATATAGTCACCTGTGAGTTCAAGACGTATTATCATTCCGCATTATCCAGCCCGTGAAGATATTGATGACCCTCAACATTTGTGAGAATCATGCGACTCGGCTACAAATGCTAAAAGTGGACTAATAACTTTACACAATTGCAATTTAATGTACCGTGCCGAATTAGATTAGAATTTTTACCGTTCTAAATAAAAATATAATACCGAATAATCAGGGTCTATTACTTCTACAACTACTTATCATTATTACTAATCATATTGACTACATAAATTATATTTAGCATAAATAACATTTCGTTGTTTTGTCGAAAGATTTATAATATCGTTTACATACCTATGTTAAGTAATACTTTCGGCACTGGCTCATCTATACCTTGATCAGAGCGTTTTCTTAGAACCAAAAAGAATGATGCGTGGAGATCCTGGAAGAATAAAATTAAATGTAGAATAGATGACGATAAACTATAAGTACGATAATACGATGTTTGATATTTACCTAAAACAATTGGAAGAACGCTGCTAGATGAACGTCCAGAAATTTTGTGATGCCACATTATGACAGGGGATCAATTAGCGATGATACGTATCATCGGTTAACCTTCGATCGAATGCGTCGCCTATATTCGGAACAGCAAGGGATATTGTGGGGAAACTGCGAAATCTTGAAGGAGGTAGGTCGGCAGGTCGCCGATAACCGCTTTCCTCGATAGTATTTGGGTATAAAAGTCTGGACCAGCGAACAGTCAGCATCGCATCCCATCATTGCATTCACAATGAGGTGCTTAGTTGTTCTCTTGGCGTTCGTCGCGTTTGGAGCCTGTGACAGCAGCAAACAAGCTGGTAAGTTCACATCTTAGAACACCTGTTAACATTTGGTAGAACGTACCTGTTTAAGACGGAAATATTGTCTGTGAATGTTTTATATTCTTGTTGTTGAAACGATGAAGAGTATTAACAAAACAAAATAGTTTTGCGCAGTTGGTGATATAACTTTAATTCATTGTGTGTGAATCATTTCGCTGTTCTCTTTGTACTCTTCTGATAAAACGTCGTCATTTGGAATTCTAATTCTATCGAATCACTTGGTTTCTTAACTCTGTACTACCTCGGTAACAGTTTCCGACACTTAAGGAAATTTAGCAACGCTTAAATTCTATTGCCTGCGACGACACACCCTTGGCTTTTACGAGAAACCGTTCGATTGTTTCAGCCGATCAGAATCTCCTCAACAAGCAACAGGATATCATCCAGCTGCTGCAGAAGATCGGTCAGCCGATCCCGAACCAGCACCTTCAGAACCTTGGCGTCTCTTATGAGATCGAAAGCAACTCCCAGCAATATGATAACCCGATCATCGTGAAATACTATGCTGGCGCTGTCAAAGCCGGTTTGGTTCAGCCCATGGGCACCGCCTACAGCAACTCCGTTAGCCAGCTGCGCAAAGAAGTGTCCCTTCTGCACAGAATCTTGATGAGTGCTAAAGACTACCTAACTTTCTTGAAGACTGCTGCATGGGCTCGTGTTCACGTTAACGAAGGACAGTTCGTCAAGGTATGAGATTCATTTGAATGTGTGTGTGTGTGTGTGTGCATAACAACTGGAATATTTGATACCTAGAAAAATCTGTTACTTTATTCGAAATACCCCGTTAAATTAAGCGTTTGTCTTCTACTCGATAGGCTTTGGTTGGTGCTGTATTGATGCGCTCAGACACTCAGGGTGTCATACTCCCGCCATCTTACGAGATCTTGCCCCAACACCACTTGGACGCAAGAATCATCCAAGAAGCTCAAGACATTAGCATCCAAGGCATCCACCATGGCATCCAACAGAGTAACATTTTGATCCCCGTTAACTACTCCTCTGTCCTGTCTGACGACGAACAACAGCTTTCCTACTTCACTCAGGATGTTGGTCTTGCCAATTACTACAGCTACCTCAACCTCGTCGGATATATCTTGGAAGGCGTAAGAAATTTAACAATGCGATAAAACGCAATTACTCTGTAATATCCTCTACCGACCTTGAAGTTAACACGATCGTTATTTCATTTCTAAATCCCAGGAACAACAACAACAACAGCAGCAGAAGCAACAACAACAGCAACCGATTGTCGCCAAATACCTGCAACAAGTAGGACATGACCAAGACACTATCGGCTACGGATCCAAATACTTGTACCTTCATCAACAACTCTTGGCCCGTTACGAATTGAACCGTCTCGCGAACGGACTCGGCCCGATTAATGAAATCGACTACACCAACGTTCAATCGCTGTACCAGCCCCGACTTCGTAATTTGAACGGTCTCGAGTTCCCCAGCCGTCCGGAAAACCTTCTACTCCAACCGCAGAAGAATCAGCTTATCCAACATGTCCAAATTCTAGAACAAAGATTGATGGAAGCCATCGACTCCGGCCATGTGATCACTCCTCAAGGTATCTTCCTCTCTCTCTACCAACCACAAGGTGTGAACATCCTTGGTGAATTGATCGAAGGATGTGGCAAGAGCATTAACCCAAGGTCACAGTCTTTCTTCTATTTTCTGAGAAATTTCATTGTATCAATTGGAATCATAATTGACGCAACGAATACTTATTCATCGCATTCCCGAACAGATACTACGGAAGTCTCCAAGCCGCTGCCCGCAAACTCCTCGGCAATGCCCCTGAAGTACAAAACATCTGGGACTACACACCATCCACCCTTGAACTCGGCCAGACCGCTGTCCACGACCCAGCCATCTACCAGCTGTTCAAGAAGATCATGAACCTTTACAACAGATACCAAGAATCTCTCCCAGCTTACCAATGGAACGACCTCGTCCTTCCTGGTGTTACCATCCAGAACGTAGACGTCAGCCAGCTTGTCACACTCTTCAACGACTACTACGTCGACCTGAACGCTGTCACCGCTCAACCTGGCCAGGAAAAACAGCAACAACAACAACAACAACAACAACAACAGCAACAGCAAATTCAGCAACAGATCATGGCTCATCTGAAGCGATTGGACCACAGACCTTACCGATACGAGATCACTGTTCACAGTGAACACCCTGTCCCCAACTCGGTCGTCCGTGTATTCCTTGGACCAAAACACGATTACCAGGGCAAACCGATTAGCATCTCCAAGAACAAACAATTGTTCGTCGAACTCGACCAATTCATCCAGAACCGTAAGTGTCGATTCGAGCCCTCTGACATTCTAGTGATGTACATTTAAAAAAAACGTTTTCGGTTCTAACGTTTACGTTTTCTATGCAGTCCAACAGGGCCAGAACGTGATTGTCAGGAACTCCCAGCAGGCCTCAGGCCAAAGCTTCGACTGGCCATCGGTTCAGACCATCCAACAGGGCGTCAACAGTGCCATCAGCTCCCAGGAACCGTTCTACATCACCGAGGTTAGTGAATTATAGTAAATTCTATAAAAACGAATTCGGAAAAGTCATACGAAACTTGATTACAAACTCACTTGCGCCTTACAGCCACAACAGATCTTCAGCTTCCCCGCTAGACTGTCGCTTCCCAAGGGTCAACCCCAAGGCCACCCGCTCCAGTTGCTCGTCGTGATCTCCGGTCAAGCCCAATTGGACGTACCATACGGCCCAGTGATCCCTGAACACGATCTCACCTACCAAGAACAACAATTCCAGATCGTCGCGCCCGAACAATACCAGCAATTGAAACAACAACAAGGACAACTGCCCTCCGTAGGCGGAATCCAACAGAACGTGGAAGTGCTGCCAGAGAACTGGGTATTGGCTCAGCAAAAAATCCAAGGTGCTCTATCGTCAAAGCCGATGTGATCAGACACAGGCGTTCGTTGTTCAAGCGCACTGACCGTATCCATCATTTCTTCTTTACAGCCGTCAGGAACCACTACGCGGACGTCTACACTAAACACCGCGGACAGTACCCGTACAACAACATCCAGAACCCGGTCGGCCAAGGTCTCGAGATGACGTACACGATCCAAAGCTACAGTAGCCAGCTGAACCCACAACAATTAGCACTCCAAGGTATCCAAGTGCAACCAGGCCAGGTGTCGCAGTCCGGACAACAGATACCGATCCAAGTTGCACAGGGTCTCCAATACCAGCCGCTCCAAGCCATTCATGGACAAATCCAACCGGTACTCCCGACCAGATGGCAGAAATACGCCGGCCAGTCTGTACAGACCGGCCAGCAGGCTATCCAACAAGGACTCCAGCCTGTACAACAGGGTGTCCAACAAGCATTGCAAGGTGTACAGGGTGTACAATCGGGGGTGCAAGGTGTCCAAGGTATGCAACCGGGTATGCAAGGTCTTCAAGGCGTACAACAAGGAGTCCAACAAGGAGTCCAACAAGGCATTCACCAAGGCGTCCAGGGTCTTCAAGGTGTACAACAAGGTGTTCAACAAGGTCTTCCAGTCAGCCAGACACTGATCCCCGACGCGTGGAGCACACAGAATGTTGGACAACAACAGATCGGCCCGCAAGGTCAACAGACCATCAGCGTACCGTACAGCATGCTCTTGGCCCAACAATCAGGCTGGTCCAGCCAGATCGGTGGCGGAGTCGCTTCCCAGATAGCCAGCGGACAACTCCACGCGGGTGGTTTCCAAGGTACCTACGCTCAACCCCAGACCGTACAGGACAAGTCGGTCAGCGACTACTACCAGAACAAGCAGATCTCCGCGATCATCGGCGGCGCCATCTCTCTCGATGGTAAACCCCTTGGCTTCCCGTTGGACCGTCCTCTCACCCCCGGCGCTCTCAGCGTTCCGAACGTCTTCGTGCGCGATGTCCTCGTCTACCACGAGGGACAACCGACCAACGACATCGTACAGTAAAAACGTTCCCCCCGTGTACCGTTGAGTGTACTCATTTGACGGGCTTAGCGCTTAAGACAACACATGTTGTAACGTTAATTGCAAAGACAAAAAAAAATACTGATTTATTTTGATGCTGCATTTATAAACGAATTAAATCGCTTCAACGAATAAACGTGTATTTTTGTAAAATCAGTGCTTCATTTCAATGCTCCACCAAGCAAAATACACATCCTCCTTTGTTCTTGTTCGATCATCTTCTTAGAACGTGTTATAGGTATACAGAGTTTGCTCCCACGGATTTTCAAGACTTTCCTTGAACTTTACAAAAAATAGTACACACATAAGTTGAACTATATATAAGTGTCCAAACGTTTCGCAACTCAAAGTTTCTTTATCCGCACTTTTTTTCGAAGAAATGGATGTTACCTTTTTTTTAAATGCATTTTTTTAACATTTGTCATTAGGACAAATCGTGACAAATCCAACGACTATAAATTCGTCGCAAAAAACAAATACAAATAACACGAGACAAGTCAACAGAAGGTAATCCACAACGTACAACGTCGTGGTATATCGAAGTGTTCGCTTCAGAAACAATCGAACGCCCAAAGGTACAAATATACCTCAGCGTTGTATAACTTCTGTTAACTTTTTGTACGTTATTTGCGTGTTTTTTGTAACATATTTACAAGTCGTTGGATTTCTTGTGATTCGTACTGAAATTAAATATCTTTAAAAATGCTGTAGTTTCATTTGAAAAACAAAAAGTCGCGTTCACATCCCCGTGAACAAAGTGCAGATAATCCAACTCTGATTTACGGAAGTTGTGCACACTGTATCGATCCAAGGAGGGTCTAAACGATTGACAAAACCAACGGGCTTAACTTAACAATTTTATTAAACAAATCATCGAACTAACTAGCGTTGACGGAAATATTAAAATAACGTTCCGATCGTGTTCCTCGTTAACATCATTCTGTCGGTTGCCTCCGAAGCGATCATCACTCTCCTGTCATCATCTCCATAAACTCTATAAAAAAAAAAAGAATGTTATATGTTATATGTATAGGAAAATACGTTTACTTACGAAAAGAAAAAAGGAAAATCTTAAAAAGTAAAGAGTAGAAGCACGAATTTAATAATTACTGGTCCGTGACTTCTTTGGGTATAACTGAAATTTGTAATGCAAAATTATCGGGAAACGTTTATAATTTCGAAAAACACACTTACGTAGGACGTAAAGGCAATTTGTTTCTTCTGTTCTGTCATAACATACACTGGAAACAGTTGTCACGTTCTATAACGCTCAAAACTGACAACGCAACGAGAAAAACATTTCCACAAAAAATTAAAAAGAAAAATGAAAAATCTTTACCCTTTAGAGACAACCGATGCCTGCGAAAAAAACGACTACGATTCAAATCAACCCAGGCATCGCTATATGCTAGGGGCTTCCTAGGAGCTAGTAGGGATGGTCGATTCCGATTTAATTCGACACAGCAGTAACATGTTACCCAAACGAATCGATCTACGTGGCCATTAGAAACGTCTGATTTCCCGGGGATGCCGCAAAACAAAGGCGTAATGATCTAATCGAAGAAAAACCGTAAAGATATAAGCACGCACCATCGAAGTCGACCGTGCCGGAGCCGTCGGTATCGATTTCAGCGATTATACCGTCGAGATCGGCGCTGGTCAATTTGTCGTCGAGAGCGGCTAGGATCTCTTTCAGGGTCGCGGTCGTTATATATCCATTTCCCTCGCGATCGTACAAACGGAACGCCTCTTTCAATTCCTCTTGCATTGCCTCTGCGTCCTCCTCCTCCAGGAATCGACCGGCGATCTTGCAGAAACCGTCGAAGTTCACTTTACCGATCCCCTCCGGATCGTTCTCCTGGATCAACGAATTCAGTTCCGCGTCGTCGAACAGCTGGCCCATCGTGTTCAGGATTGTCGAGATCTTAAGGGTGTCGATGACACCGCTTTTGGTTGTGTCAAACATCTGGAACGCTTTCCTCATCACGGCCATCTTTTGCTCGTCCTCCTCCTGCGAAAGAAATGGTCGAGCCTTAATTTCTATCGAGCCTGATGCACAAGGGACCAACCCCCCGATTCAACAGCGAAGAATTCCGCTTTTCAATCAACGGAAACGGTGTAGATCAATCTACATAAGAAATTTTCTATAGTTTCTAGTTTCTGTGGCACGGATCTCGTCTAATTTTTGAAAAATTCCAAGCGGAAACGGTCTGTAGATCACTCTATATGTATAAGAAACATCCCATAGTCTCTAGTTTTTATAGCAAGGTCTTTCTAATAGAGCTCTCAAACGGAACGGTGTATGGATCCTCTTCATCCTCAGAATATCATCCAACTCTTCTGGTGGTCGCGGTTTGTTTTCGCGCCCCGTACACTTCCTTCAGTTACGATCACTTCGAATGACTGCTTTTGTGTATCATCAGGTAGACGTGTTTCACCGGTTATGTGATATTGCTCCAATATTGGATCTTGAGGATATCGGCAGTGTAGAGGACCGCGGATAGAGGATCGGAACGATTTCTCTCTTTCTCTCTGAGTCTTACCATGTCGACGACGGTTCTCTCGCACGGCGGACAACGGACACCTGAGGTGCCGCCGCGTTTCCATCCCGGTATAAAGACATCCTCCGCGTCTGGTAAACCAGCTAGAAAACCGACGACGACGACGACGACGGCGGCAGCAAAAATAGAGCGGCCCGAGCGAAAAATGAAATATGTTATAAGCGGGGATCCTCCTCGCGAAGTTGGAAGGCCGGTGCTAAATCATCGCCGGGGATCGCATTGAGACCTCTCTTTGGTGGACACCACGTTGCAGCCCTTGGTTCGGTCCACCTGAATCCGCGGTATTATTGGATCTTTCGTGGCCCAACGAGAATATTCCCTCGAAACCTCCCCGGTTATAGCTTCGCAACTGTGAAACAAAATAGCGGTCAAGCAATGGTGTTACGCGTTAAGCTGCTGTACAGGGCACGCTTTTATGTAACAACGATCGATAACACCGTTACCGGTTCGATCATTCGTGACTTTGTTAAAAGGCTCTTGCAGGTCCCGATCTTGGATTTCTTGACGGTAGTCGATTATTATTTTTCCTAACGAATCAGTAGAAGCACTTTCGGCACTACGATGAATCAAAGCAAGAGAATCTGTGATTAGAATATAAATCCAATTCATTCATGAATCTCGTACGGATTCGAAAAACTGGCCTGGTTTATTTGTCTTGGCATGCGACAGCGTCAATGCAGAAAATTCGCCGCGTTCGCGGTAGGGGAAGAGTGGGTAGTCCCGGACATTTAAATGAAACAGAAAAACAATATATAATCAATAGATTGTACTCAAACTATTCTTTCGGAAAATAAACATAATAAGTACTTCCTGATTCGTTACAAATAAAAATAAAATAGAACACCTAAACTTAAATAATTCTAGAGAAAGAATCAGTAAACTGTAGGCTCTGGTTTTACGCGATCAAAAAATGGCCGGTAACCCCGGGCATAATTTTCAACGATCATCTCGAATCTAGAAGTTCGCGTATCCTTATATACCATACAGATTACAGTAATAATACAAATTGAACAGATCAATATATGCACATTCTTCGTGTGTCCAGTCTTTTCATGTACGGCATTGATAATATAATACATACATTTAATAGGCAACAAGCATCGATGAAAGTCAATGTTCTTGGTAATGTCACTTTCAGCGGGAAAAGATTTTATTATAATACCTGTATAATTTGCTTAGCGTACACGCTACTACTAACTTGCAATTGTTCCTGGGCTACAAGCAGACATGTTATAATCTGTCATTTATTTTCCTACGTGGCTTGGTAATAAAGACACTGAAATGTCCAGGACTATCTGCCTTTTCCCTAACGACTTATTCACCGATCCGTATATTAGAGCCGACCTGATCGCTCAGATCGGACGGCCTGCATAACATTCGTTCGTTCCGTGAAAAACGCAATTGGTTATAAATTCTTGCGCTGATAACAACAGCCCGCGAATCTACGCGGGCGGGAGGTGCGGAGACGCGTATAATAGCGGTTAGCGTTCGCTGTTCTTAGATCACACGCCCCCACTGGTTTGCAAAAGCTATTACAACCGCGTTCTATCTGGCTTCTCGCGGGGACCCGGTAAAAATACAACGAGTCCTCGGTCTCTTTCCGAACGATTCATCAGCGAATCATCACGCCGCCGCGTTTCCAGACGCGAGGGAAAATAGGTCGCCCGCCGCCGGACGATTTCTCTGAGCCCACGTGGCCAAGATCGACAACACTTTGTTCTAGGGATGTTTGATTCCGATTCGACTCTTCAGAAGATCAACCCCCTTGGGTAACACACGTGATTGCCATGTGTAACACATACACTACCGGTCAAGAAGTAACTCATTATTAAGTTAACGGAATCAGTACGTATACAAATCACTTCGCATCAGTTTTAACACGTTACCTTCATTAACTCCTTGTAGAATAATAGTTTCCTCTTTCTTTAATTATCAGTTCTGGTCCCATACTTTTGAAACTGAAAAATCGAAACTTAATCGAACATCCCTACTTTGTTTCTCACTACTGTACTAGCCTGTACTAGCCCCCACCGGTGAACATAGAATGCCCGTGTAACCTCGTGGTCACGGGCGCATAAATTCGATTGCGCGGCGAGCAATGATGCAAATAACGGACAAGAGTTATTAACTTCAACGACTGTCGCTATAAATTTCTTAAACTTTTTCTCTCGGTGTTTCGTTGTCTATTCGAGTGTATACTCCTATCTTTATGAAGTGACCCTATCATATAGATAGAGAAATGAGCGAGGAATTCAGTGCTCGGAGTGTTCGGATTATAACGCCGTCGAAAAATGGGATTAATTTTTCGTTAATTCAACCACGGGTACGGGTCTATAAATAATGCGAGGGGAGGGGGGCGATCAATCACCACGCTATAAGTTTTCGTACAAGATTTTCGTTTTCGTGTGTACAAGATCCCCTCGACGGGCATTTTGTACTCGCCCCGTTTTCATTCAGTCGATCCATATTCTTGAACGGCACGGGATGGCGCGTGTTGAAGACCGGCCAACGGACACGTTTTACGTGAAATTTGTCTCGTTAGAAATATTTTCGGTAGCGACGCGTCATAATCGTAGGTTGATGTTCACCCCCGCGATCCCCCTCACCCTCGTCCGCCGACACGAAGTGACAACGGCGATTCGGGCGTGCAAAGGCAATTACGTCTCGCTGCCAAGTTATGAAAATCAGCACTCCCTTGGCAAGAGTCGGAAGACGACTCGTTAGAGAGGCATGCGGATGCTGCCTCGCCCCGACGGCCGAGCGTCTCGAAGTTTCGCCCTCCAAAGACACTATTCCGTAAATAATATCTATTCGCTCGTTATTATTCGTACACGAGGGCCAAAATGTGATACCACCCACTTAAACGACAATTTAACAGAGGCAGGTACTTGAATAAAGTGGAACACTGTTTAGAATCTGAAGAACCCTTGATGGAGTCGTTTGACCATAGTTATGCCATTTTTCAAGCCCATCATGGTCCAAGTGTCGAATTTAACAGATAGCTTATTCTTAGTATAGCTTTCGGATGTTTATGAAAATATGACTTTTATAGAATAAAATGCAAAAACCGTCATCATGCTAAAAATTTGGATACTTTGAGGTTGCAGATAATATGAAAAACATCGTTCAATTTTTTTAAACTCCTACCCTATTGAATTTTAAATGGTCGTGCATGCCAGAAATGCATAAATTCCGCAGTCTACGTTGTATGTCTAAAATCCATTTCGATCCGTTTAAATTTCAACGAAATGAACCCAGATAGCACATGACGCCTTGAAGACACCTACTTTACGGCTATTTTAGGCCTAAGGCGCTTTTAAGCCGTCTTCAAGACGTCATTAGACGTTACGTGCTATCTGGGAAGGATAAGATTGTGACACCATTTTAGATCAAAATGGCGGCCTGTTCTGAGCTACATTGTATATGCCATATGCAATGCAGCTTAGAATAGAATTCCGACGATATACATTATATTCAAACGATTTTTTAATCGCCTACTGTGTAGAATGATTTTGTATTAATTTCTTTAATTTCGACTTTTTATTCGGTGGTATGGAAGATGAGAACTAGTTTAAATTTCGTAATCCGGGCAAAAAATTGTCATGGAAGGACGTGGCGAGCGCACTATATTAGGAAGTATGGCAGGAGGCCAACAAGGTGACGAGCCACGAGTACTAGGGAGAAGAAACCCATCGATTCGAAATGTCTGGGATCGACAAAGTACTCCTTCATACTTAATATTTTGAGAAATTCGCGAATTCAGGTGGGACAGTTTGAAGTATCCGGTTCGTGCTGGCAAATGTCACGGTTAATTTCATGGATCTCGAATTGAAACGCATTCTTCAGGTTAACGATGCATTACCACCCACGTCGTCCGCTCATAGATTAGAAACAGAATGCTACATACCAGACAGCTTTGTTACATAAATCGGACTGTTATTCAATTGACGGCGTAATTACATTCTGCCCGCCTTTTTTAATATTTACTTGATACACAGAATGAAACCGTCATTGAAGGTTATAATAAAATTTCAAAGGACAAATAAAGTAACGCACGATAATAAATAACGAAAACGAACCTTTCGAACTCCCTGTACATTAGATATTCATTCAATCCTTCATAAGTATCTTCTCTCAGCATCAAAGTTTTCTTAAAATTAGTTGAGCGAACGATACAACGCTTGATTAACACAGTGTTGTATATGTCGCGCGCGAAATACACATTTGAATATGTACTGTCGTGTTCATCCGCAAATATTCTCTTGGTAAAGAAGTTCTTGTTACGAAAAAAATGTAATATCTCCGTCGGTAAACGTGTTCGTAAAATTCGAATTTTACGATATGTATAGGGATTTATAACAAAACACTAAGAATTGGCGTTGTAGGTACTAGGTTTTTTCGATACACCATAAACGATCTGCGTATTTAATTCGCAGTTAAATGTGTTTGAGTTCATTATTTAGTAAACTTATATATTTGTGCATAATTATTTCGTACTCGGTAATAGCAGTGGTTTAAGTATATCATTTCAGTTTTCGTAAAACATAACCAAAATGATATCGACACCAAATTAAAACCGGTTTGAAATCTCTGTTTACGAGTATCGCAAAGGACGACTATTGGATAGAGAATATTAAGGCTGAAGGAGCGATTCTAGGATAGAAAATCGTGAAGGCAGAGCGTACGGTCTGGCAGGATCGCTTTGCGGAACGCCTGTGTTTGAATGGAGGGGGCACAGTTCGCCATCGTGCACAATTATATACAGCATCTTACACGGTGAAGTCGGTGAACAACGGTGAGAGAAAGAGAGACGTATATATATGTATACATATATATGTATGTCAGCAAAGTAGTGTGTTCGCGGATCGTGCGTGCAGAAGCGCTTAAATATTAATCACATTACGGATGTTTTTGCCGGAGTGACGCGCGCTTAATAGACGAGGTCCGATTATCGAGATGCCACGGATATATGAGTGTAACGAGAATGGAAGTCCGTGCTAAATACGGATCGCGCGACTTGCAAATAAGCAGCACCAATGGACGCGGCCATGTTTTCTGCTAGCAGAAATCTTACCCATTAATAATTCGTTAATCGTCGACCACAAAGTGGAGCGTGCAGGATGCCGATATGCGGTCTGAGGGCAAAGTTTCTACCAGCTACTTGCGCCTGGACAGTCCTACTCAGCACCACCACACTATTCTTCTGTTTTCCGTAAGTTCCTCGAACCACGTCTGTCCTCTCCACTCGTGAGAGGCCGCAGCGGTTTGCCCTTCTGTTTTCATTATCCAGATTTTTCTGCATTCTGTTGATACACATACCTGTCACAGTGATTGATTCACTTTGGATTTTCTAGATGCCAGTATTACGTGTTCCAATGGGGAACATGGGTCCCTGCACTACAAGGAGCCATCACCTTCCTTGTATTGGCAAATTTCACACTAGCCACCTTCATGGATCCTGGCGTTATACCGAAAGGTATTTTGGCCTGATACGATACAGTGTAATCGTAAAATTGGTTTGTCTGTACTGAAAAGAATTGAAAAATGTAAAGACATTTAGATTCACAAGAATTTGTGTTTGATTCAACTTTCTTGAACTAGGATATTAAAATGTGTTGATAGTCAACAGTATCATGTTTTTATTAGTCAGAATTCTAAGGTGAAATAATTGGCTCCGAATATATGACTGCACTATATCTTTTACATAGATCTTGTAAGCAAGATCAATATTACTAAAAATGGTTATTAAATGTATGTGATTTTACTTTTAAAGCATCTTCTGATGAAGACAAAGAGGATGAATTTAGTGCCCCATTATATAAAAGTGTAGAAATCAATGGTATTACAGTTCGCATGAAATGGTGCCTCACCTGCAAATTCTACAGACCTCCTCGTTGTTCTCATTGCAGTGTTTGCAATCAGTGTATTGAGGTTTGTAACAAATATCAAAAGTTTGAAATAGATTCCGAAGTGGATGCTTTATAATTATTTCTTATAATTTTAGACGTTTGATCATCACTGCCCATGGGTGAACAACTGCATTGGAAGGAGAAACTACAGATTCTTTTTCTTCTTTCTTGTGTCACTCTGTTTTCACATGCTCAGTATATTTGGATTCTGCCTATATTTTGTATTAGAGAGGAAGCAACAGCTAGGTGAAGTGGACACAATCGTCGCGTATCCTTTTCTCTAAAAAATGACCAAATACCATAAATATTATGATGGTATATCCGAATCCACGAGAGATCCGTTTCCTCTCAAATGATTTTGTAGTTTTTAAAACTCGTAAACTCTAAAGTTTTCCACCATAGTATATGTTCTTACATCTTATAATCCTTAAATTTACTATAGACTTGTGATCATGGGAGTGGTTATACTCTTGTTCATTCCAATCTCTGGGCTGACTGGCTTTCACGTAATACTTGTTTCCAGAGGACGTACAACAAACGAACAGGTAACGGGTAAATTTAATGGAGGCTACAATCCTTTTTCCCGCGGTTGCCTACACAATTGCTGTTACACGCAATTTGGACCACAATACCCCAGGTACCGTACTTATCGCGTACGATAAATAACTGTAAACAGATGTAACGAGCACTCAGTTTATCGTCTGACGTTTCAGTTTACTTAAGCCTGAAAAGTATTCAGGAAAACGACGCGGAGCTTGTACTTCTGAGATATCGACTATAGGCAGTGAGAACCAGGTAAAAACCTACATGGATAGCAGCAATGGTGTTAGAAATGCCAGTTCAAATGCTTACAATAAGGTAAGAGCTAGTGCAATGTCGCTTCACACTTCTGATACTATGTACGGGAAGACTTAAGGACTGTAAATAACACATCCTCTATAGCATGAAGTTCTGATGCTTCTTCGATGTACATTTACCAGCAGTGTGCGGCTATGCAATTCACTCGCCTTTGAGAGAAACTTTAAACTCTGTGCTATGCTACACCTTTCCCGTGCTTTAAAGCTTTCATAGAACATACACCGTGAATTGCAAGTTCTGTTGCACATAGTGGTGCACTTTGGAAGTATTTCTTGCACGATTTTACAATGTTCACGCATTCGTTCGTTAATTTGAACGTTATTTATTTAGAGTACAATATCAAGCAGCGATTCTTCCTATCTGTAACACCCTATTCACAACGCTGGAAAGATGCAGTCGCCGTTCAATTCCTTGTCCTTTACCTATCCCGTTTAAACGTCAGCATCCCTAACTGATATGCTTTCTGTAAAGAAGTATGCTATAACGATATAATCAGAAATATTAATTCGGTATTGTAAAAGTAACGTCATGGCGTATTATTGTTTTCAGTTGTCACCTGGACGGGATGGGTCGGATACAGACATGGAACCCACTGCATCTCAGTCAGCTGATTGCGAGCCTACACCTCCACTGCAAAGACACGGTTCCAAAAGCAATTTCTTCCTGCCACCTATGGAGAACAGTGAGTCTCCCAGGCACCCGCCACCATCGCAACACCGTCATCCATTGCAGTACACTAGAGGCAGCCCTCATCCTAGGCCAAGGTAATATAAACCACAGCAGCAAATGGTAAACGCGTTTGCTAATTGATTTTCTAATACACATAAGGTACGTTGTCGATACCTACAGGGGAATGAACGGTTCTCGAAGCCATACGCCCGATCCATTATCACCGGAAGTTAGCGGATCTCCTGCTGCTGCTTCTCAGAGAGGCCAAGGTCAGGGAGGTGCTAGTCCAACGACACAACGGATTAAAGCTATTGGAGTACCGACTCCACTTGCCATTTCCAGTCCTATGCGCAGGTATACTATGCTTTCGTCTGTTTAATTACGAACAATAGACAAAATTATGACGGATATAACGAAATTAATATATATACATATACATACTTCGTAAAAGAAATTGGATATAAAGAAAGAAAACAAGACAATCAGATACTTCGTTATATATCGTGAACACTTGAAATACTTTACTTTTGAGATATTGAACTTCTAGATGTACTATTTCTTTTTACCTTTTTGTAATTGTACCTGGCGGTGTCTTCACATTGCACAGAATATTGGTTCTAGTTATGTAGAGAGCAAGAGGGAAGAGCCACTTAGTTAATAGTTTCATTGCATTTATCGAGCACGCTATGAATTACAATCAGTGAGTATATGTTGATTTCCTGTATTCGATGTTCCTGTTTGCTACCTCTCGATATGATGTGAAGCCTGTTTTACTTCAGACTCCCAGTATCCCTCACGTTCTGAATGACGAAGAAACGTGTGATAGAAACAAAATTGTGAAAGAAAAACAAGAGATCAATACGCGACCGTAGATTACGTTTAATATCGTAGAGAATTAGTTTCTCTGCATGTATATATTAAAAGATATATGGTGTATAGATAAGTTTGTGTCCCACTGCAGGGGGTGGTAACTGCAAGGAGCTGCTTTCTACCATCATGTTGCAACCTACTGCAGGTAAACACGAACTTTATCCTACGAGGACATATCGTAGTTTCAAGTTACGCTTTCTTGCATATACTACATATATACATATACGTACCCATATTTTTAAGACAGAAGTATACATACTCGAGCCCACGTATGTACATATACAAGTTTATATACATATGTGTATATATACATATATATTCGCATATGTATCGACCAGTACGCAAGTATAAACGTCTTCACATTATTATGTGTATTTCCTAAGTTTCGCTATATATACATGTATATATATGTATACACATATATACACATATATACATACCATTTTTACGTTTTCTTGGATAGATGCTAATTTTATAACAGGAATGATGCGCTGTTCTCTTCTTTATATATATATTATTCTCATCTTGGCTCACTTGTTAATTGCAGTAATGCTTCTAAACTTGTACACCTCGAACCCTCGAACTTGTACAGTTTAACGGATTTTTAATAGCTGTGCGAACAGTGACGGATGATAGTTGGAAGTGAAACAGAAACAAAATACAGAAATTGATAGTTCTTTATGTGCCCGTGTCGATGAACCTTTAAAACACGTATGTAGCACGGTCCCAGAATCGCATACAAGTTTAAGGGTGTTACTGTGTGTGTACTCAAGTACCAAGAACCGGAACGCCTGTGTGTTTCCTTTAGGAAGGTTTATACGTAAACGTGACGTGTCTCTGTTGCAGATCGAACCCAGGTACGCCGACGCAGGTTCGTCGGCCAGATTTTATAGGAGTGAACGATGCATCGACGTATTACGATGTACAGCAGGGAAACAATGCCGGCGGAGTTGTTGGCGGCACTAGTAGCGTGGTTGTGACAGGTTATAGTCCTCAACGGCGTTTCCTGTCCGAGAGCGAACTGGTACGTCAGGGTGGTGGCGACCATCCGTATTCCAGAACGAACAACACCGTCGACAACATCCGTGAATTGGCCGGTTCACCTCAGCGTGGTGTTTACATGTGGAAGGACAACTCTCCAGGCAGCTATCCCGCACCACCAGGGTCACAGAACGCTACCACGCATCAGTCACCGTCGCAGCGACCACCGCCAACGTACGACTATTACAGATCGAATCCGACAAGTCCCACGCAACAGTTGTACGCGAATGCGCCCAGAGCAGCGTACCATCCGGCAATGAGAGGCGGCGTACCGGTCTTCCCACCACACCAGTCGCCTCAGGTGAAACGAAAAGCCGCGATGGTCACGCCCACCACGCCCACGTCGGGCGACACGCGCCGCAGACCAATGTCTTTCGTTAGAGCTTTGGAGATGACGAATTCCATGGAGATGGTGTCCGCGCCGAACGACAACAGATCCCAACGGCCCACCACACCAACCAACGACCGGGCCAGTGTCTACGATATGAACTACGAGATATCCGTATAGCCCAGCTTAAACGTCCCCGCACCATACTGCGGCTGGACGGAGATGGTGCACGATCAATTACCGACATTTAACGTCTCCCGTTCCAAAGAGGACAGAACAGCGTACGCCGCTTACGAGATATCCGTCTGAATTTATTGTTGATGGAACAAGTATATCGAGACTCTCTTGAGACCGAAGTATGGCCTGTTCAACGAATTGAAAGGTGTGGGATAAATATAAGTTACTGTTGGGACTTTGGGTCGGAAATTCTGAAGGACTGATCTTTAAAGTAAAACAAAAAAAGAATCCGCGGTCTTGTACTCTGTATATTAATTACGCTGCTGTATTTAGTCTTCGTATTATGGTTTCCAGGTGAAAAAAATAATTAAAGGATCCGTCAAATCCTCGAATCTTCTATCGCAAGAATATATCCGGAATGTTGAATCTATCTTACGTCTCATCCTTTGATCGTAATCGTGTTCGGTACAAGTTGCTAAGTGTGTTTTTTCACTAATAAGATGCGTTCCCCTGTATACCCTATAAGTAAATAATCGACTTGGTTTAGACGAAGAGATCTTGATCAGTGGACCTCCAGTACCGAAATTCAAGCGTCAGGACTCAAGAGGGTCTGTTTCAGAACTATTGACACACGACACTCGGGTGTTATATATTTCTTACTATATTTGTTCCATTCGCAATAAATATTTCTACGCATTGCAGCAACAGCTAAAACAGTTCTACGTCGATGCGATATTAAAAACCCGGCCGTGGTATTAGTTAAGTTCTTCCGGTCCAAACGATGAGCCACCATATATATATATTGTGTATGTATACTTTGTTGAAATCACGTGGTATAGTACAGACCATTCTTTTCCGAATGAACAGAGAAGTAACTGTTATACCTGAAGTTAACGATACAGTGAGATAGTACACCCCATGAGGTCATGAAGAGAGGTTACAGCCTGAGCAGTATGATTGTAGGGAACTGACACCTCATCGAGTGCTATGTAAAGTATCTCCTTTCGAAATTAGTTCCTTACAATAAGGACTTTAATCGTATACCTAGTTCTCACTATATCGTTACGCCGAAGTATATACGAGTAGCCTATGACATGGACAATGATATACAGGTTTTCTCATCTAGGTATTACAAATTATATTCGTGGTAATTGTTACCGGTAGAGATGGAGTCTTTCGATTTATACGGTTCAATTAGACATCTTATGTGACGTAACCAGTAACAATGGTAAAAGAAAAACGCATTGAACCGTATTAACGGAAAATAAAAATTCATCACGACGGATAATACTTTCTCTGGGAAGTAGCTTGGAATACATTAGCTGAGAAACCATGTATATTCGAACATTACTTAACACGGAATTGTAAACGATTGTCTTCGGGAAACAGGGACATCGGTGTTCAGTTAATTTCCATTGAAAGCTACCAGATGACACAGGGAAATTGCGTCAAGGGTCTGATTTGAACATAAAATAAAAATGTGTTTTCGGCGCAAGCAAGACTGTCGTGTCACGTTATTAGCAATATTATTTTTATTTTCTGTTCGTTTAGTCGTTGTAGGAGTGATTGAGAAGCATTTGATGCGCACGAGATGAAACTTGTGTTCATTGGTATCCCTCAAGGAGGGAAACGCGGAGAGAGAGGGAGAGAGAGGCGTTCGGACCGATTGACGATCGAGAATAATCGAGTCACGAGAACCGTCAACGAAAGTAAACCCGAACGCGTTAGACGTTATACTAATCCGACGAGGGGCGGTGAAAAAGAATTCCTTGCCCGCTCGGCGAACAAAAAAAAATGGAAAAAAACGATTCTATTTTTTAGTACACAGTAAGGTCAGTTTAGATTTTTATACCGTGACGTCGTGACTCAATTTCTAGAAGGCGCAGCATCGGTTGCCGTTCCTTTCGTTTGTTTGCTCTTCTTTGAACGCATGACTTTTTGATGTGTAACAAAGAATATAGAGATTATTCTTGCGTGCATTTTTCGAGGCTTGATTCTGATCAACATCGTGTTCCATTATTATTTTCTTTTTAATAGCGAGGAAAGGAGGGTTGGGGGGCGTTTGAAACGAGAAAGATCAAAATCGAGCCTCGTTCCGGTAATAGTCTCCTATCTTCGTTGACGCGAGAAGAGTTCGTGTTCAGTTAAACAACATCAGAAAGTTGAAAAGAAGAAAAAACGTTATTTAATCGATTTAAGTCATTATCAGGATAGAGATAACGAATTCTGTATAAAATAATCGTGGAATGTGTAGCAAATTTTTAATATACATATTTAACAATATTTATACGTAAATAATAAATATAAGACTTTATAATGATTTCACTATTTTTTTTTTTTCGTTATGAATGATGATTTTATTGATGTGACCACTAATACCATCGACTCGATTTTTATGAGTAAAAACGGAAAATGATATATAGAGTAACGGAATACGAGAATGTGTGAATACAAAATAGAGAACTGAGAGCACGTAATGGATGTATAACAGGACAATTCTTAGTGTATTAGAACGAGAACAGAGATGCAAGATATACAATTAAACAGACCAGTGTTGCAAAAATGTTCACAGTGATCCTGTTCGGTGATACAGAGGCGCGTAAATTACTAGATACAAACTAGAAAAAGAAAAAACAAGAAGACTTAAGAAGTGTCTATCGTAAATGACGTTTTATTTACAGTTTTTGTATAATGCTTAGTATACATACATTCCTCTATTTTTCATCCAATACAATATAAGATTAAGTATTAGCATAATTCTTATACAATCTTAACGAAATTCGTCAAGACAAGACCAATCTGCAAAAAAGAGAATCAATTGCTCGTCGTAATTTGCACGCCTCTGTAGAATGGAAATGAGGAACAAACCCCTCTGAGGAACAGAACAAACTTTGTTAAAAAAACAAAAAAGAAAAACAATGAAAAAGAGGGCAGACAATTTTGTAATATACATTGCATAAATTTATTGGTATATCTACCGCTATTGTTAAGTTTGTAATATACCCCGCTTTTAACAATGAAAAAAAAAATTGCATGCCGGTTTCTGTATTATGTATTTGTATGCGAGACCAGATACTACCATCTTATGCAAGCTTAATGATTAATTGCGTAAGGCCAACTTAAAAGAATAATCGCGTGTCCGTCTTGTCTTAAGGCGAGTCAATAACAAATTATTATTATTATTATTAATTTTACTGTTAAATGGTACACATATCATTCAGCTAGAGAATGCTTTATCAAACATCGAATATTCCCCGCGCTAAAGAAAGAAGAATTTTTCTCGACAAGTAAGCTTGACGGTCGTGTTTGGGTCAAAAGAGAAGGACCGAGACATGCTATGATCATTACCAAGTATTTCTTCCAATGCTGTTTTATTCCTTGTTTACGTGTATTCGTTTTACTTTTCCATAACAAAGCTGTGCCAAAACAAGGAAACATACGATTTTACATACCCCACTCCGAACATGTAGTTTTACTTGAAGAAGAAATGATTGACAAACGACAAAAAATATACACAAAATGAGACAAACGATCGGTACAACGTTCAAACGAAATTGGTTTAGAGAAATTATGTGTAAGGTGTGACGAATGTTTAGTGTTTATAATTCGGTGTACTTGTACATAAATATTGCTCGTTATTATCACTTAAATGTACATACGTATACATTTCGGTACTTACGTATCGCTGCAGCAATCTACAGAAATAAAACTCATGAAATACAAATCGATCGTATCTTTCGTTGTTTTCAGTGTCTCTTTACTCGAGTATACACACACATGCTACCCGCAAATGAGTTATGCAACGAGGAGACTGCGATTCTACGCATATACAAAAACAAATCAACAATGAAGAATAAAATCGTTTTGTATAGAGCTTCGGAAAATAAAGTCGATAAAAGAAAAGTTCATACCGTAGCGTAGAACTACCTTTGTTTATTAGGAAAAAAACATCACATTCAGAAGCCTACGGTGCATTGGACGTTTCCAATTTAGAATATTTTTGATTGTACAATCATCTACCCTTTAGTCGCACCACACATTATTGGATATTCTGTTTAAGCAATTAAGCATGCGTTTTCGAAAAATGAACTACTACCTGCTTCCGTGTGATTATAAATGAGATTAACAGCCTTATTATTGATAAATAAAGTGTGGACTTTGTGCATAAATCTGCAATATTTCGTGATACATGTTGTATTTGGACCGTTGGTCTACGTATATGAACAAATATAGAAAAACCGAGCATATTAGGTACGATCAAATATGTTTTCCAATATTGACGGATTAAGCGTTGAATTTCGTGAACCGAGACTGTGAATTAACAATTGCCGCTTATGGTATTCTTAATATTTAAATTTTCTTGCATGTCGACATCTAGTAGTAAGATTGCAATAATGATTGGCTAGTAGCTCGAGCAGTTTTCCACAGATGGCAGCGTAAGTCTGTTCGCCCGCTTTCATCAAGAATATATAAAAAATTGAAATAATAATTAAAAACACCTAAACCGACAATTGTTAATCGGTACGAAAAATTAATAGAGTCTGTCCGTAAATTCTATACAAGATAACAAGAGGGAATCTCTGTATTATTTAGAAAGCTTATAAACAAGTTAAGAATATACTCTGTATAAATCTTCATATGAACTTTTTCTACTTAATTAAATTCTTGTACATTTATATCAAGTGTCGCAACTTTGGCAACAACCTACCTATTATTTCGATCGTTTCTGAGAATCGCAAACACGAAGATTGCCAAAATGGACAATCGCGACTTCTCATTGGTAGAATATCAGACAAGTTTTCTGCGATCATGGTAAACGGAACAAATATTAACGTGCTGAGGCCTACGTTTACTTTAGAAAACATACATGATGCATAGAGAAAAAAAAGAGAAATAATATGATGTTTGTAAAAAGCATTTAAACATATGATACAACCGCTAGGTTTCATGCTACCACCAGATAAGACTTTCTAAGGTTTATGTGGGTTTATGGTTCTCGTGGTATAGTGCTGTAACCCGGCGGGAACAACGACACGAGCGCCGCGTCATTTTATTGGTATAATTTTGTTTCATATGCTATGGTATGCTACATAAACTTCGTATGTTTATTATTCCATAATGGCTTCAATAATGAAATAAAAGTTCTCAAACGCTGGTGTTTTATGTTGTTCGCATGCGGTAATATTAGATAAGAAGATTAGATCGCGAAGGTGCCTTGTGGAGAAACGACGGATTTTTTAGCGGCACTGTCCGCCATTATTGGCGTTTGCACGGCGTTCAAGCGAATTTTCTTTCGTTTATAGAGTGAAAAACCACGCCTATAACCTGGAGATTCATACTGTCTAACAATGTAAGTATTATAAATTATTTTCGTGTTATTTGTCAGTCATATTTACGACATTATCGTAACCTCGTTGTTGCCGGGTATTTTCATGTGTTCGTACAGGGCACGCAGTCGGAAAGATAGCACTGGTAAAAGCGACTCCGAAGCTACGGATAAAGAGAACAAGAGAGAAAGGGGCAGAGAAAGGGAGAGAAAAAAGCGTGCTGCATCGTCCTCTAGCAGCGGTAGTAGGTAAAATAATAAACATTTTTGTAACCAAATCATAAACACCTTAAGCCAGGGAGCACTGATATAATATAGACATCACTGAATCAAAAGTAATATTCCGACTAATCTTTTTATGTACTCAACAGAAAGTTGTTCCACTATGTATGAGATCACTACATATACTTTAACCCTTATGAGTGATTTAAAAACATGTAGAAAGATTAAAAGGAAATACCTATAATCTGGGAATCATATTTGAAGTGCAATTTGATGCTAATTACAGAATATATAGGATATAAATCAGTACAAACATATTATGTAGCTACTATTGATGCTTCATTTGTGATCTCTAATATTATTAATGAATAATATGTAATATGTTTATATTATCTTTGTTTATTAGTTCTTCAGACAGCAGTTCTGGATCGTCATCCACGAGCAGTGGAAGCAGTTCTAGATCTAGTTCTACTTCTAGTACTACCTCCAGTAGCTCAGGAAGTTCATCTGGGAGTTCCAGAGAGAGAGGAAGAAAGCGAAGTAGAAGTAAAAGTGTTGATGCTTCTCGTAGACATGACAACAAAGAAAAGGAGAGGGAGAAGGAGAGAGAAAGAGAAAAGGATAGGGACAGAGATAGAGACAGAGATAGAGAAAAGGATAAAAAGAAAAGCAGTAATTCTGTGATTGATAAACCTAAGCCCAAAGCACGTTCCAGGTAAACTCATTAATTCACTATTTCACATGTTTTTACTCTTTTTTTTTTTTTTCATTTCACTATATTTACCTTATAGATCACCCTCACCACGCAGAAAACGCAGAGAAAGATCACCCATTCCTAGACCAACAAAAATACACATTGGACATTTAACACGTAATGTCACTAAGGAACACATTATGGAAATATTTTCTACGTACGGTCAGATAAAAATGGTTGACTTTGCCATGGACAAGCTTCACCCTAATCAGGGGAGAGGTTTTGCCTATGTGGAATTTGAAACAGCAGATGAAGCAGAGAATGCAATGAAACACATGGATGGTGGTAAGTACAAAATATAGACAACAATTCACAATCTTGTTAGAAAATATTAACTGAATGTTTCGATTGGATTGTACAGGACAGATAGATGGTCAGGAGATTACTGCTGCTCCAGTATTATTGCCAAAGCCACGACCCCTACCGATGCGAAGGATGTCACCTCTGATAGGCAGAAGAGCGCCACCGCGATGGGGTGGTGGGGGTAGAAACACTCCTACGCGTTATCGAAGACGTTCACCACCTATGAATCGTCGCAGGAGCCCGCGACCACCAAGACGCAGACCAAGAACCCGATCACGAAGTCCTATGAATAATCCACGGCATAGACATCGTCGCTATACGAGATCAAGCTCCAGTAGCTCTCGATAGCAACCTTTCTGTTTTTTGTATATATAAAGCAAGAACTGAATTTGACCAAATATGGTTTAAGCCTGAATTGGTCGTCTTAATGTATTAAGCAAACCAATTTTTACCGATTCAATTCGAACATATTTGACGGGGAAGTGTACGCACTGGAAACAATAGACTTTATTCGCGTCGGTATTCACTACGACCCTTTTGTTTTTTAATACAATCACCGTTCGCGACCCACGAATACTGCTTTTCAAATATACCAATTTCACGCACGTGTCAAAATGTTATTACAGTTGATTGGTACCTGAATGTCGTTAATCCTTAGGCGACAAAAAAATATACGTGTATGCTTAAAGATTGTGTCAATTGATAGTATTATCTATGTATAAGGCATGAAGACTTCAGAAGAAATAATTGTTTATTGTCGTGTACGTATCAACGTCACCATTTCGAAAAAAGTATGAAAATAAGAGCCTTCTTTTTGAAGTCGTACTAAGTATTACAGATTTCTTTCTGAGGTCTTTATAAGGTGTGAGATATTTTTAGGCTGGTGAAAATATTTTAACAAACAGGTTTGATAGAAACTATGATTATTAGACCCTTTTACAAAGAATCAATTTTAGAAAAAACCTATTCACACAAAATCCTCTTTTATAGTTCGCGATATCTACAAGAACAGAATCATTGCATCACATTGCAACCTTGCATTGATGAAAAATATCTACAATTTTTAAATTGCGTATGGTCATTAATTATATAATAATATACACTTTTATGGTGACTTTACAGTATAAACGAAACAAAGTTCAAGAGCCTGATTACTTGACAGAAGTAAGTATTTTTGTCGAGGCACCAGGATTTCTCAAATGCTAACCTGGTCCATGGCACGAATATTGTTTATTTTTTATATCTTTTTGTGAGAGATCTCGAACTGGCTCTCTGGTAACATAACGACGTATATACATACTATATATGGCTGACAAATTGAGAGGACAATAAACAAAAATGCAAAGCCATATTTCATTCTCTGTTTCTGATAATACAAAAAATCAACTCAGAAATTGCAATTTTTCTACGTAGCATTAAATGTGACTTTGATTGAAGCACTTTGGCACGGACAAACTGCTTATCCATTTCTTCACTTGTAAAATCCGAGTTTTCCAATAAATATCGTTATTTCTTTGAACTAACAACGCAAATTGAACTCGTTCACACAACTTGTTCAACAAATTTGATTTATGCCGTTTGTTACTTTCTTACAAATTACAACGGGAAAAAGCAATTGCAATGCTTCTGAACGTTCTTACATTTCTTTTAATATCACAGGAAAGCACCAGAGTGCAATTCTAGTCTCCATATAAATGAATGGGGGTTGAAGCAAGCTTGTGCTGCCAAAAGCCAATGATACGTGCTTGCCCTCTCGGTTCACCTATTCATTCACTACGGTACAAATGATCTATCCTCAAAGAGAAATGAAAATCCATACGTAGCATTTTTTAATATTATGTCGATTAAATTAGGGCAACTTGTGTGTGTTTGCGTGTCCTTTTTACGATCGTCTCCTTACGTCATTAATAGAGATTCGTTTATACGTCGCAATAAATAAATAATTAAATAACTTTTGAGTAATGGTAGAGATCCGCATAACATTTTTCCTCTTAACTTGGATTTCATTATTTTTTTTTCTTTACGTAGCATCGTCTCGCATTCTACAATATCTATAATATTACACACGATACCTTTTTTGTTTTCCTTATTTAAACTGTACGCATAGTTACTCGTAATGATTAAAGTTTATATATCGCTATGAACAGTCAGATCCTCGAAACTTGCAGAGAATCACAATTATATAACGTCATTATCATTTCCTTTGTGACACATTCGCGAAATCAATGCCTTGGGGGACAGTCTGTTTAACGACATAACCGTCACCTTTGTCATGTAGACTTCCTACGATCGCGGAACAAGGCATCTTCGTTAAATGGTCCTCCTCGTACGAGACTTTTCGTCGAGCGTCCTAACCTCAACCAATATTACAGTTCGCCTCGATCACTTTCATCGATAACTATAAATATTATATAACCTATGTACAATTTTATTTTAAATAACGCCTCTTCCCCATTAGCAAAATAACATCACCATATTCCTGAGATTTCATGGAAATGCTCAGAATGCTGATCCATTGGCGCGTTCACTTGCAGAAGTCGAGGACGCGAGGAGGATATATCATCGGGATTGGGAGGCATCCTCCTTCTTGTGTATATCTGCATGCATCAAACCAGGATCTAGTTGTCGTGTTGGTACTCCTGGTCCAGGACCTGCTCTATGATGCATGTGTAGATTACTCAGTGGGCCAGGACTAGGATCTTTGCTTCGTAGAGAATTTACAGGAGGTGGAGCGTAGCCGGCGTATAGTTTAGCTCTTTCTTCTTCCTCTGCGCGGAACGCAGCAGCAGCCATTAGTGGATTATACCGTAATTGCTGCAATGGGTCATAGCGATAATCCCTGAAGGGATCTCCAGGCCAGGGACCGCCAGGTTGGCCAGTGGGTCCTGACGGTGGTGGAAAATGTTGCATTGGGTGCCCACCCAGACCAGGGATCATGCCTCGTGGCATGGAATGTGGTCCAGGCATACTGTGTGGATGCCTCGCCAGGTATGAGTGTGGATGAGGATGATGGTACCTCGTATCAGGCATTGGACTAGGACCGGGCCCTGTGCCAGACGGTGCTCCAGGACCGGGTGGCCTTGAAAGCATTACGACTTCATCGTCTTTACTTCGCGGTTCTTCTTTTACGCGAACTTCGTTGGCGTCCATGGGTGCTGAACCATTTCTTAAAGGCGATCTATCTCGACCTACGACCACATGTTGGCGATTTTGATGTAGTAATCTTTCTCGTTCCATTTCTCGTCTTTCCATCTCGCGACGTTCCTTATCCCGCCTTTCCCTCTCCCTCTCGGCCGCCTCCTGTTGTTTTCTCTTCTCCTCTTTTTCACGTTCCCGTCGCTCACGTTCGCGTTGCTCCTCGCGTTCACGTTCACGTTCCTTCTCACGTCTTATACGTTCGCGCTCACGTTCGCGTTCACGTTCGCGTTCACGTTCTCGTTCTCGCTCACGTTCCCGTTCACGCTCACGTTCTCGTTCTTCGAGCTCAGCTCGTCTGTCGATCGCAGGCGGTTCCGGTTTTAAGCTCCATGAGACCGTGGTTGGCGGGAATCCGGCGGAGGCTCGTTGCAATCTATAATTATTGAGAAAGTTATTTTCAGAAGGAATTTTCAATACATTTATGGCACATCAGTAAAAGTTCTGATATTTTTCAAAATGCAGGACCATTTTAAAATTCGAAATATTTAAAACTATAAAGTCTCTTAAATAATAACGTACCCTCTCCAAGGATCGTGTACAGGACCTAGCCCACCCAGTGGCATTTCCCTTGACGGTGGAAAACTTGAAAGACCAGGGAAATTTGGATTTGGCCCACCAAATGTTGATGGATATCTACCAAATGGTGACATTCCTGTTCCTGTAATTTTTTCATGTAATTTCACCGCCATCCCTTTTATCTGATGTTATCTGATATCAAGTATTTGTACGAAAAATTACCTAAATGTGACGGTGGTGTAGACAGATAACCAACAGGATGAGGTGGGGGTGGCGCAGGATGAGCAGGCGGCATATTACTGGGGAACGGAGGCGCCATAGAAGGCGCTCCAATTCCAAGACCACTTCCTGGCCCCCCTGGATAAAGATGGCCTGGTGGTCTGAGCAGTTCCGTTTTCGTACCCACGACGTTTCCGGCCTTAGCTTCTGCTTGTTGTTTTTGTTGATGGTGATAAATTTCCCAAGCTATGCGTACATGCATTGCATTCCATTTTCCAGTTTTCTGTAATAAAACGTAATCGTGACACGAGAGACTCATACAGGATGTACAATTGTGTTCATTACAACTAGAAAGTTTATGTACCTTTGGTGCAAATGATGTTAAATGATTAGGTGGTACGAAAGGAGTCGAAGGAGGTCCAATTCCTGGATGTAAGAGACCAGCGTTGAAACCGGAGTAGCCAGAGAGATTCAAGTTGCCACGAAAAAACGGTGATTCAACTCCCCCTAATTTGGGGATGTCCTTGAACTGAACAGACGAGTATTTGTAAACGTAAAGACCACAGTTTATTACTTTTAGTTCGACAGGTTAATAAATTTTGTTACGTACAATAGGTGGTGGAAACAGGGTTGAAGCAGCCGACGGTGGAAGTAGAGGCGTCGTGTGTTGATGCACGTGTGTGTGTTGATGTTGATGGTGGTGCATCTCTGTCCTAAGATACGGTGGCGGTCCTAGGTTGCCAACTCCGACGTTTCTGTCTTGGGATGCCAAGAATCTATTGTCAAGCTCTCGCCTCAACAGGTCTGCCTGACCTGCGACATGTGTCACCCCTTCTTTCGGTTAGTGTCTCATTCTGTGCCGTCTCCATAGTTCCAATTCCAAAATTACAACACCGTTTATACACTTACTTGTTTGAAAAAGCGACTCTGCGGAGAACGGGTTGGGATTGGTCGTTGGAGGTGGTAGTGAAGGCAGCGACGTGTGTGGACTGGAACTGGACACGGGAGGTGGTAGTGGTGCTGCAAACATTGGCGGCGGAAATGTGTGCATGCCTAATGGTACTGGTGGAGGAGTTGGCCTTGGAACTGATGTTGCTGTTGCCGGAGACAATTGTGAAGTAGTGCTGCTACTGTAAGTTTCAGTTCAAAGTATATAAATAGTAAACAAAGCCGTATTAAAGTATGAATATATACTAGGAAAGAAAAACAATACTATTCATACCCAATCCATCCTTGTGGCTTGGAATACGCAGGTAGACTAGAATTGGCTGGAGAAGATGTGTTTGGCACACTTACTGGTGTTATGCTACCTCGACTGAGGCTACTCACGTTACTGCTGTAACAAGAAATACCGCTATAAGCACTTCGCTATAACATACGACAGAAATGCATAGGGTGTATCGTAAAATATGAGCACGACATTCGGGATAAGTTATGAAACACCCGATATATGATTACAATATTATACCTATAACTATCCCTTTCCCGACTTGGGCTGTGTCCACGAGGCGAGTTATTGTTTCTTCCAGATAAACTACAGGCTACCATGTCTCTGTGAGCAATGGTGTTCGCTGTCGTTACTGTATTGGTTATCGTGGACACGCATGTCGTGGTAGCAGCGCTTAATGGAGTATTATGATTTGTGGTATTATTCCCTACAGACTGTTTACTTATATTAGTACACGGGGAAGCTCTACTTCCTCTCTAAAAACCAAATAATACCAATGTTAGATTTTGCACAGAGTACCGTGTTGTACGACTTTCATTACTTTAACGAAAATCCATAGCCTAGACGAAGAAAACTTACCACTTCTGCCCGTGATGATGCAGAATGGGAGGGAGACGGTACCGCGGGTGGAAGGTATGGACTGTGGTTCAGAGCAGTGTACGGTGTATACAGAGGTGGGTAAGACGGTTGGGTTTGAGGATAAGCAGCCATGGATATTGACGGTGGATAGCTGGTGGTAGTTGCTCCGTTTGATGGTGCTGCCGGCGTGACACCTAAACTGGCTACCGCGGGACTAGTTGTATGACTCGACGAGACGAGTGGTACATTAGGTGTGTGTACCGCAGGTATCGTAGTATGAGGCTGTTGGGACAAAGATGGAGGCGGCAGAGCAGGGGAAGCTGGTCGCTGTTGCGGAGCTATTGCACGTGGGTTTGCTGCCAATGGACTAGTCATCTGAAAATACGTTTAACCAAATGTGTATCGTGTCTGCAGATACAGAATAAAACGTTTACTTACAGGTGGCTGGGATATGTGAGGGGGTAGAGTAGGACTGGGAGGACTTGGCGCCGTTGGTACTGGTGCAGATGCAAGCACAGGTGGTGGTATAGGTGCTGGAGCATCCGTAGCTGGATTGGAAATTTGTCCACCAGTGTCTGGAGGAGAACCTCCTGCCCCGTTTGTTGGAGGCAATACGTGTGGTGAAGATGATGGCAACTCGTCTGTAAGATAGAATCAAGTATAGACAAATAACTACGCAATAATACGTACATTATTAATACGTTACATACATTTACGTGCAAGGGGTGGTGGGGTAGAAGATTCAAAGAGTATCGATTCAGCATCCGAGCCCTAAAACGGTAAGTAATTTTTTTAAAAAAAAGTCATTGTTTCTTCTTATGTATTGTTGTCCAGCTTTAAGACTACATACCTTATCGTCTTCCCCTTCACTATCACACTATATTAACGGACACAAATAAACAATTATTAAGTCAGTTGAATACATTCATATGTAATATATTAGGTTGACCAAGTTCTGATACTTACGATATAACCTTTACCCGAACTGCAATGACTGCTAGCCTGTAAACGGACAAGCAATGCAAGTATGAGTATTTGTACATTGCAAGCTGCAATAATTGTAATTTCTTTATTGAGATAGTTGTACTTACATCGCTGAGGTGGTCCCTGGAACTGTCTGCGTCCTGGCAATCCCTAGGTATACCAGGGCCATGCAGTTGTTCAGATGCTCTACCACTATCGTCACTTGTACCTGCATCTAGGCCCTTTGAAACAAATAAATCACAGTTAGTCAAGTGTCTTTCTGTACACTGTATATGAATAAGCACATGTGGAACATTACCTGGTTAAGTGTTGACGGTGTCAGTATGGAATTATGCGTATAATGGTTGTGCTTAAAGTGGTTTTTGATGTGGTGCTCGTTGTGTCTATTATTTTGTCCTGTATCCACCTTTGGCTTCTCTTCCACTATTGACAGTAACGTGTGTAGTTTCTTGACATTATTTTTACCAGCTAGCTTTATTGCACTCTGTAATTAGAAACAGAAAATCCATGTTATTACACATTATACTGAACACAGTAGTTTAAATACAACATTTATAAACATATATTGAAACCAATGAGAAATGAATTTTGTCCAAAGTATTTATTGTAATAATTAATTGTATTACACAAGCCACAACAGTACACAATGTATTATTTAAAACAAATGGTTACAAACTGTTACTCTATCAACGGTTTCAACACATGGAATACGTTCTCAAGAATCCGAGATTACATTCTAAGAGAGCCCCGTGGTTATTTACACGAGCCCGCGGATGCTGTTGCAAGCGCGGTATCGCGATAAACGGTAATACAATCCACGGTAGTGACTTCGCGGCGATCTCTAACTCGACGGGTGCGAATTAAAATAATGAAATTTCATTCCCTGCGGTCGTTCATCGTATCCGATACACGAACCGATATACCTAGGTATATCGTTCGCCCTACTTGAATTCAACACGCGTATCACCAGCCACAGCCAGCCAGCCGGGTACATTCAACACGTATGGTAAACACTGCCACAAGTTTTGCACCGGAACGACGAAAGTAGGATCTTGGCCTTTGTGTCACCGGTGAACGTAGAACTTATCAGTGACCTGGGTAAGGAGTATGAAGACTCGGAACGTCGGAGGCTGGTCGCGCGCACAAGTAGAAAAAGTCGCACGAGAACGCCTTTCCTTTGGGTGGCTTTAAACCGCGATGTCAGTGCACATTTCTGAACGGGTGGCGCTCTGCCCCCTCCCTTTTTGCCTCCGCCTCCCGCTTTTCACACTATCCCTCTTTCTCTCTCTGTGCTTTCCTTCTGTGCACCTAAATACTGTTATCGGTGATAAACGTTTTCGTGTGCTCGTCCAGTGAAAGGATACGCTTGTACTTTTGGACAGGTGATCTATAGACCAATTCTCGTCGAGATTCGAGCTTTAAGACGGACGAGCGTTCGTGGAAGATGACAGCAGCGGGATTCACAGGCAGGGACCGTGTGTCTCGTGTGCGAGATGCAGCACACGAATGGTGGGGAGAATGAAAGAGGCACTGAAGGGGAGGGGGGTAAAGGTGAAGGGAGGCGAGCCGGAGGGGATCGGAGGACGTAGAAAGTAGAGGGGGAGGGACTAGTGGAAAAAGCGTGGAGAGGGGACGACGAGGAAGGCTGCGGAGGAAGAGCGAGGAAGAAAGAGAAGACATTGACCGAACGAGCAGCCGCGCGACAAGGCCTCCTTTGCCGTGCCAGGCCAGCTGGAAGAAACGAAGCCCCGAACCCTGACTTCTCTTTCTCGGCTCCATGTAGTATTACTTTCCTTTTCCGATAATCGTCGACACTCGTCCCCTTTCTTTCTTTCTCGTTCCTTCTGTCTGTCTTCCTGGTTAGGCAAAGAAACAATGGGAAAAAAGCCACTAGAGTTCGCGCGGTGTAAAAAACTACCACCTAGCAAAAGCCGTATGCTCCACCTGCGCACGTGTGCCAACTGCGTAGTGAAACCCCCTAGGACGTGTATCGCGGTCAGATTACACACACCTCGTACGAAAGGCGAATTAAAGGGTTATTCGCATTTCGAATATCGAAGAATCGAACTTTTTAAATTACATTTCTATAGGATCCAAAACTTTGTGAATGCGTGTTACGCAAATCCCACGAGAGTCAGAATCCTACGGAAATATGGATAAGGAAAACTTGATACGATATTTGGAAAACAATGTTACTTGGATTTGCGAAAGTAACATACCCTGTAACTACGGAAAATTTCAATTAGAAATTTCAGTAGATTACTAAACGCTTGTTTCTCTCAGTCTGAACTAGAATTAATTGAAAATGCTATACTCCTGTTAAAGTTGGTTTCTTTTTAAAGCTTATAAACGAATAAAGATTTAGATGAAGTTCCTTTTGGATTTACATAAAAATCATTTGACTTTGTTACGTGTATTTCGTATTAGAGTTTAGGTGAAAAATTTTTGATTGAAAGAAGATAAAGAAATGTTCGACAGTCCGAGACGTGAGGTTCTTCGACACAGAGACAAGTAAAGGAAGGTCGTTCCCGGACGTGCGGACGTTCCACCGGTCGGCTACTCCGTGCTTTGGCTAGCCGGCTACTAAACTCGTCCGTGCAACGTTGCCACGTCTATTTGTTCGGCGTTGACACGATCGGACTCTAATTCAGCTACTCCTCGCTATTCGCGTATACATACTCGGTCGCGGTTTAACGCGTTCGATCGTATGCACATGCGATCTCGACGTGTTTGACGGTCGCAACGAATTGTTTTCTACGTGACATCGGTATCATTCTCTTTATTTCAAGATATCCCTTGAAATAAAAAGATATCACTAAAATATTTAACATGTTTTCTATTAAAATATTCACGTACTCGATTGACTCGTCGAATAGTAACGCATTTCAGTGACATTTTTACGCGGAAAATACGAATCTTAATATGTCACCTGCTAAGCCTAATTAATGTACCTTTACTTTACATGCAGAACAAACGTTCGACTATCATGATACTATTATGATAAAATGTCTTTTTGAACTTTTATCGTTGATTAAATTTACGAAACTATAAATTTTCTTGTCTAGGGATTTTATTACCTATTTGTCATTGAGTTTGGTAACGCTGGTTATCGAAATTCCCGCCACAATTAATGCGTTATAGTCTATCGTGACATGTCAGGAGTATTCCCATTAAATACGACGATATTTCTCTTTTGGCGGATATCTCTAGCGTCAAGATTAAGCATTCTTCGTTCTCGTTTGTAACAACCGGATAATAACTGTCATTCGGACATTTGTTTGACGGAAATTTCGGCTGTTTGCCAGTACCAAATTGACGTGCCGAACGTGAAACGGCGTTGGCTTACGTCCAAAAATTATCCGAAAGTAAACATTTATCGTGGCAATATTGTTTATACCGGAGTTACTGTCTCTGTGTCTCTTTTACACGTTCCTGCTCGTTCGATAACCTGACATTTTGGCGGGAAGAAATCTGCACCGTGCTCTTCTGTAGGTTTTAAAAAGAAGTTGATTGAATTCTATGCATCGTTTGTTTATCTATTTGTCTTCTGCACGTGAAACACCTCTTTTTGTTTATACCACTTATCGCGGGACACTATGTATATTGTTTTGTTCTTGCTGCTCGTTAACACAGCTGTAAGTAACACTAATTATCGTAGTCATATACATATATAAACTAATTCATAAAGCACAGTTTCCATTCTTCGTATTTACAATATGTCTATACGGGATTGATTTCCGTTAGATTTCAAGTGTTTACAAAACAAACAACGGTGAATCCTTAACGGGAGAACGATAAACGGTCGAAAACACGACTAACTCTCTCGGTGGGAGAGATCTGTATTGTGGATGATGTATTTTAACGCGGGTAAGTGACGTAGACGTCGTGAGGAATGCGGTGACGAAAGAAAAAAAAAGAGGGGGGAAGGAAAGCACACGTCCAGAATCTAGTATCGGTGTCCCCATGTTTCGTCTACGTAGTAGACTCTACTAGTTTGGTCCAGCCGGCCAATAAAGTGAATTGTAGTTCTGCGAGAACAAGACAGAGGGAGAAAGTGACGAAGAAATCTGAAAGAGGGCAGTGGACTCGCGCGCTCTCGAGAAAAGGAGAAAAAAATACGCGACGTGTAGCAATAAAAAGATTTACAGTAGTGTAAACGCCGGCGATAAAGCGAGGCGCGCGTCTGCACCGATGTCCGTAGCGAAAGATTATTTTCGTACGTAAATATTTTCCCCTGCTGATTTGCATGGTTTACTGGCCGTGTCATGTTCCTCCAAGACAATTACGTGTACAGGATTCCGAAGGTGCATGTAATTCGGATGATTTGTGAGTAAGTGCCGCCATTATCCTCGGCGCTGTAAGTTTATTGTGGACATTACCGGTTGCGATCACTTCCGCGTGAAAATAATCGTAGTTTACCTGGACTTTCGAAAGAAAAAAAGAAAAACAAAATGTACCAAGTAAAATGGGATGATTAATACTACACGGTTTCAACACTTCGACTGTTCAACCTCTGTCGCTGTAAAACTTTTATATAGGATTGGGACTCTCGTTTCAACTGAACAAAAACTGTGAAGTTAATATTAGTTACAAAAGATAAGTGTAATACTGTATGTACATACTTATACAAATTTTCACCATTGCTCTGTTTTTCCTGTCCATTTTACTGAATTGGATTTCGCGTGTTATGGAATACCCTGTATGTATAACATTTTAGAAAAATGAAATATATGTACACGTGATTGTAAACAATTTACTATAACCATGTGGACATGGAAGTCCGTTGTTCCGACTGCTTTCGTTACTTGCTGTATGAGTGAGATGACAGTGTCAAAGTGTTTTAATTGTAGTAACGGAGTTGCCTTATCCTTATTATTCGTTCGTCTTTTCATTCTTTTCAAACATCCTTGACGTGTTACGAGTTCAACGTTGACGCAGGACCGCCAACGTGCACATATTAAAACCGTATAATTTCTTTTTTCTCACTAGACGTACAAAATCACGGGTATCGATTACGTTCCGAGGCACGGAAGGCTGTTCTTTTTTTCTTTCTTTCTATTAAGTTGATTCCAATCAACGAGACCAATTAATCCGAGACGCATCGAGGAACCCGAAGGTAAAGCGTTCGCCGCCTGCTTCCGTGTCAAATTAATACAAGGAGAACTAGGTCAAATACCCGTGGCAGGTGCACGGAGCCCCGTGTTTCGTCCATCATCGATGCACATCCCTTTTGTCGTTTCCCGTATCGATTCGCGCGCGCACGCACACACGAGTCCCCTTTACAATTCTCTCGTCGTTTTTTTTTCTTCGTGCTTCCGGTTGTATGCTCAGGAAACACGTAAAGGGTTCGGACAAAAAGACAAGAGCCTTCCTCGAAGGATACGAGCACGCTTGTAAGATAAACTACAATGATAATTGCAGAGAAAATAACTCTTATTCGGTGAGGTTAGAAATGCATAATGGCGGATTTCTCGTTCCACGAGG